AATCGTTAGTCTAACCACAAACGCCACAATGTACCTAACTCAACAGTCATCATTGTTGCTGAACAGAAGGGTGGCTCATTCCATTGAAACAAATGCTGTTGCAATGCCCAAAAACCCCCTTGGTGGTACCCATCTCAATTAGTTCTTGAGCTAGTGTCGAAAACTCCACGTTCCTATGGCGGGGAGCAGTTTGACTGTAACACTCTAACCAAAGGAAAACCAACTAATCATGACACTACAGTGATTATTCCAGCAGGTGGTGCTGTTGTTTCCAACCCCTTGACGAAAAGACGATGGACCAAGGCTACTCGAACAGGATTCGCTGCCGTTCTGCCAGGAGAGCAAATATTATAAACGCAATATAATTCGTTCGTGTATAATCCGTGTAAGTCGGTCATATATCTCCGTTTAGGAGTCGTGAACATTTCTGCACGGTTCAGAATGTCACTTCCTCCTCGCTATATGCTGTGCATGCACTCTACCCACTGTGCAGTACCATTGTGTATCTGCGTGCAGTAGTACTGTACATCCTCCACTGTCACTGTGTACCTAGGCATTCGTTTCTCGTACTGTATACCCATCTATGTGTATGGTATAGACTAGATATATACAGTACAACCCCTATTTAGATGGGTGCATATCTGCGCCTCTCTGTAACTCCCGTGCGTGTTTCTGTACACACTCTATGCCGATTTCTCTGCATATCCCTCCGTGTCTGGATCCCACTGTATTTCCTCCCCCCCCTCTCCCCGTGTAAACCATCTCTGTGCGTATTCCACACCGTCTTTGTCTCTCTCGCCACGTATCTCCGTGTGCGTATTCCACACCGTCTGCGTCTCTCCACGCATCTCTGCGTGCCTGGCCCCTGTATCGCATCACGTCCCTCTCTCGCCGCACCTACAGTACACGTTAGCACGTACAGGCTGGTCCAGATGTCTTGTGACCGCCTCCCCCCCCCCCCCATTTCATTCTCTAAAACTTAATCGTTTTGAATATCAATGGGTGTGAAAACAGAAATTAATAAGCAAAATAAAAAATGTTATAGGCCACAAGACGTCATGTATTTGCGCGAGTTTCAGTTTGTCGTCCATCCCCGCACCTCCGATTAGCACGGTGGGTTACGCACGGTGCGAAAGAAGTTCCGCACGCCTAAGTACTGTACACGCAGCTGCCCCCCGCCCTGTCGTGCGCACCTCTCAGTACGCACTGCGATGTTGTCAACACCCCCCACCCTGCCCAGCTACCTCCCGTGTACGCTTCTCCCCGTCACCTCTCGCTCTCTCACTCCACGTGTGTGTGTATCTCGCCGCCACTGCCGCGTGTCTCGCCTCGATGAGTCGCCCGTCCTGGTCGTACTGCGCCGAAGCCGCCGCTGGCGCGACTCTCGACCCCGCGCGCGATCGCTGCGATACAGCCGCCGCCGCCATCGCTCCGCTCACGTGACCACAACCCCCTCTCCACGTGACCACCACCCCCCTCTCCACGTGACCACCACCCTCCCTCTCCACGTGACCACCACCCCCCTCTCCACGTGACCACCACCCCTGTCCACGTGACCACCACCCCTGTCCACGTGACCACCACCCCCCTCTCCACGTGACCACCACCCCCCTCTCCACGTGACCACCACCCCCCTCTCCACGTGACCACCACCCCCCTCTCCACGTGACCACCACCCCCCCTCCACGTGACCACCACCCCTGTCCACGTGACCACCACCCCCTGTCCACGTGACCACCACCCCTGTCCACGTGACCACCACCCCCTCTCCACGTGACCACCACCCCCTCTCCACGTGACCACCACCCCCTCTCCACGTGACCAAAGACAAAGCTGCCCCGTGTAGCCTGTACAGACTTGGAGGGGCGAGCTGCTGTTAGCGAGCGGCGCCTATGAAGGCCACGAGGTGGTGGTGGGGTGGGCAGCAGTCCGCCCTGGTCTCCCCAGTGGCGATGTTTGACTACAACACCGCACCAGGTTACTCATTTGATAGCCGAGTTCTACCTAGGGGAGGCCCACGACCGATACAGATAACAATGTGTAACAAAAACCTTTATTGTTCCTGGGTAGTGTTATTTTCTTACTGCTTTTGCCTTAAAAGCATAGAAAATGTATATTATTCCCCACAAACTTTGTTTTTGTGACCAGGACAGTGATATTTTGAAATGTACCTATTTTCAATGAGAAAACGTGGTGTGCATTTGTGTCATTCCTTCATATAAAGTCCTGGGCACAAATGCAAAGTTTGTGGGGAATAATAGCCATTTTCTATACTTTTTAGGCATAAGCAATTATAAAATAACACTACCCAGGGACAAAAATCGTGTTACACAGTCTGTGTACGGTAATCGACACCGCGTTGTTGGCCGTGAGCGCGAGTCGACGAGTTCGGAGCCCGGAGCGAAAGCGCTAACCGCTGCACCACCGCTCTCCACGTGACGGCCGCTAAGCTCACGTGACCCCCCCCCCCCCCACCACTATCCACGTGACCGCCGTGAATCCAGAATCTTTTTGTTTAATACTGCAGGGAGGAATCCGATGAGCTATAAAGCTCCCCCCCCCCCCCCCTCAGATTGCCCAGAAGAGGCGGGTCAGAACGTGGAATTATTTTAAAAAACTATAGAAGTGCAAAGTATAGGAAAGTTAAACGAGTCTGTTAAAATATATACACACACAAATAAAACTAAACTGTTTGTTTTGCCAGGTAAATCCAACCGAGCTTACTAACTTATTTTGCAGACGCGATCTGGCCACAAACGACAGCTCAACGGAGTGGCTTATCACGTGGGTTAGTACGTCATGGTCACGTGAGCACCACACGCCGGGCCGGGCAGCTGGCTCGCTCACGTGATCCGCCACCCCCCTCCCCGCCACCCCCCTCCCCCCCCGGCGCGCGAGCTGCTCACGTGACTGCTGGCGTGCTACTCGGTGCCACGTGGGCCACTTTTGTCGGGGGGGGCGTGACAGTTACCCTGTGACGTCATGCTTTCGGATTCAATAATTTAAACGCTGCTTGTAACCGCCAGCGAAACGTCCTCGAATTTTGAATGTTCTGGGTTTCATACCTGTCAACCCCTTATCAGTGCCGACCTTATTACAGATAAATTCAGACTTCATTGGTCAACCCGTGCCCTTATAAATATCAACGTTCATCCTACAAAGTCCCATCACAAGGGAGATACACAAACACATCGACAAAAATGATGTTATTAAACAAAAACTGTTTTTATATTCTTGGTTCTTTCGGTAAAGTCACGTAGAAGGGACACAATAAAATAATAAAAATATAAAACAATAAAATTCTCACGACGTTTCGACTGCAACACAAGCAATCATCATCAGGTGTCTTGCTGTGGTTTTCACACCTGATGATGATTGCTTGTGTTGTAGTCGAAACGTCGTGAGAATTTTATTGTTTTATATTTTTATTATTTTATTGTTTCCCTTCTACGTGGTGACTTTACCGAAAGAACCAAGAATATGAATCCCTGCAGTCACGAAAGCTTTAAAAAAAAACTGTTTTGTGTTACTTTTGATAATTGGTGTCAGTGATGCCACTTATCATGCTTACTCTCTGTGATCTTGCATGCTGCTGCTTGCTTTATATGTGGATGCACCCACTCATTTTGTAAATGTACAACACTAAACAGTAAATTATGAAGGGTTAAACAATACACTATCATTCATGTACATCCCAATCCTGTTTTTACAAATTTCAGGATCAAATTTGTCGGCTGCTACGGGGATCGCTACTCTCCAGAGTAAAAAGAAAAAGCTGTCCCGCAACTTTTTTTTGATGATGTCTTTGTTGCCCGTATTGAAACGGCTATGCGCCGTTTCGACCTGAAACTCAACTTCCCTGTTCAAGAATACGGGTAAACCGTATGGGTTGACAGGCACGGGGCTTACGCGCCAACACGTTTTTGGGTTTCAACCGTTAGTTTCCAGGGAAGAGTAGAATGTTTCAAATTATTTTGAAAACATTCCTCTTGTGTACCTTATGTGCAATAATGTATAATTAATATCCAATACTTTTTACAAAGATAACGGATGCTTCTATTCTGATTTGATTTGTTTCAAACTACCTATAAAAGTAGAACTGCATTTACCTTTCAATTTGTATTTAAACCAGGAAGGACAGCTGTGTGCACATCTGAACTTTATATTATAATTGCCAAAGATCGTGCATAAATGAGAATATCTAGTCCTTACCTTGCATGTAATTTTCCTTCAAATTAAGCTGTATATTGTGTGCTATCGCTGACATGAAAAAGTATTTGCATAACTTTCAGTCAGCAGTACTTCTTGCAAGTCCACCATACACACGTGCATTTATAATGATACGTTTCAAAAGAAGGTATCGAGATAAAGATGGCTATAAAGAACACTTAGCTTCAATTCAGAGCTTGTTTTCATCGTGATACAACATGAGTACATGGACCATTATAAGCCAATCACTTTAAATGTATCATATTTTTGTAGCATTTTATATAAATAATGCATCACAAAAAAAGAACAAATCATTGCATTACCTACAAGTGCCAATTGCGACGTGACACAAAACATTGTAACCCGTGATAAATTCCACCAGCAGGTGGCAACATGATCATACGTGTACTTACCACAGGTGGAAAACGAAATCAAGAATATTTATACTAGAGGAATTGGATGAGCTATAAAGCTCTTTTTCACAGATGTCCAGTAGTGGACAAAAACCACAACGTCCTCCATTCTTCTCCCCATAACTCTCAAACGACTCACCCAGTGTGTGATGCCACCCAGCAGACTCTGGAGTCCAAGTTGAAAAGCATTCCTTATATCTGGTACTTGAATGCAGCTTAAGTTATTCAAATATTTGTAAAATGCATAAACAAATTCAAATTGGCAACTTTATATTGGATAATTACTACCTGACGAGAATAAGTAAATATAACACGTTAGTTTCTGTAAACAATATTTTACTACATAGTGTTAAGTTAAAAAAGTTTACAAACACACTGTGATGTTTGGCACAGTTTTTAATCAACTGGGAAAACACAACACTGAGGCAAAAATGAATGTGGCAATCATTTTAGAACATTGATTATGGAACTGGCCTAAAGCATAATGTGACACAGCAACACTAACACTGGTAACATTTAACACTTATTCACAATAACGAGTCCATTAAAGTGCTTATTAAAGTAACATATTTACAGGACACTGATAAAAATCCAAGCAGTTCAAAGCATTCACGGGCTATGCATTTTATGGACCAAAGAATTGCTACAAACATCAGAAATGCAAGACAAACTCTCAGAATCCTGAACTCTATAGAGGACTGCGCAAATTAACAAACAGGTGGAGGCTCTGCACAGCTTCATATTACTGTATATGTATTGTGTGTATATAAGTTACGTAAAACTTTACCAGAAAGGTTTTCAAAGCAGAGCACTACACACTGGGATCGTACAGTACATTTGGTAAATTAAGCACAGATCTATTAAATAATTAATCGGAAATAAATTCACGTTTTACCCTGTGAATTGTCTGATTTTATACAGATCAGATGGATGTGTATCATGGAGACCTCTGGAAACTATCCACAACTTCTGGACAGACATTCCTGGAATAGTGATTGAAGATATTCCACGATTGTACTGTGTGTGATATGCCATTCTTAAAAAATGAAAGTCAAAAACGTGGTGGAATACTGGATAACCGTTCAAATGATGCAGTAGCAGATGTTTTAGATTACATTTTTAAGCACAGAGTACTGACATGAAATTTGGTTGTTAACTTGAATAAGGAAAATCAAACATTTTCATAATTGAGATTTTCAGAAGTTAGAAAAAGAGAATAAAAACTATAAATAAAATGCCTACCATCGTACAAAGAATATTAGTAGAATTTGAGTACATTTGCTATTTCATAGCTTGATATGATGGTTATTGAAAAGTAAGTTATTTTCAGCATGTTATTACAGAAGTTAATATTTTTTGTTACCATTAACCATTCTATAATTAAATACGCTTTTAATGTTTACAAAAATACACTTGTATATATTGCACTTAATAGTTTTCTGAAATAGTTTTCTTCGATTATTGAATGAACATTGACTCGTGCTTATCCAATAGATGGCTCCTCTTGAGCCTATTGTCAATAATTTAAAAGGGATTCACTTTAATCAATTGTAATTGATGCAACATTTGTGCTATAGTGTGAAAATAAAATACACACCTAAAAAAGACGACCCTGTGGAACACTAATGCACGTTAACAAGTCCTGGGAAATACATGCCTATGAATGAAAACAAGTTTAGGATTATGAAATATTTCTGTTTTAACAACTGCATTTTGCAATCTTTCAGGCAGGTGTATTTCGCAAAATAATTTAGTGTCAGGTTCCACAGGATCACTTTATTTTTAACACTGCAAATAGTTAAAATATACTGAGCAGTATATTTAGTTACTATTGTTATTCCTAGTTGTGTGCATAGTCCCAAGTGAAAATTATTGAATCAGTAATTGGTGTAGAGAGAGGAATACATATTTGAAACTGTAGTTATGGTCAACAACCAACTCAGCTAAATTACTCATTACTGTATGTATTAATTTAAAATGAATGTTGTTTGCAAGCAAAATTATTTTCCGTTTCATTTTCCTTCAGATTACCTAAATATGAATAATTTCGCATTCAACTTCTTTTGGAGTGACTATATTTTCAATTATGTGGCAATATAAAGAGACACAAGACATTGCTTAAAGAAAGCATGTTGTAAGTCCGTGCGCACGTTGGAAAGCAATGGCGGGGATGGGGACATCAAGGAGAATATTTAGAATGCATGGTTTCTCATGTGGCTGCTCTGAGCTCCAACTACCATGCAGCAATGGTTGAATTTCTCAACATGAACACTCTCATGCTTGGATCAAATGATTGCTGATCAATTTGATCACGAAATTAAATACTCTATATATTGTTCTCTCAGTGTATATGCAATCCTATACTGTACAAATATTAATAATTAAAAATAAAACATATGTTTTGTTATTTAAAATAAAATGTTTTAAAAGAGTTATTTAAGATGTTCGTAATTTGACTTTAAAACCGTTACTTCTATAATTGATATGCTGAGTTATGAGTTACAAACTCTGGATTCGATGACCAATAGCATATCATTGAGGTGACCTCAGGGAATTGGTGGAGGCATTTGTCCTCCCCTTATTTTTCCTATGGAGCCCTAATTGAATGCGCAAGTGACACTAGTACAAACTAGTACATAAGCTAGAAATTCTGGTGGCTGCTCCAATGTTGTTCACTCGTATGGCCATCAAATAGCAGGGGAAACCCCATGAGAAGTGATGCACCCTATTGTGCCGCCCTCTGCTGTCTCCACCTTTAGACATGACAGTAATTACAAGCGTAGTTCACTCGTCCTCATCATCGTCGTCCTCGCGTTCGTCTCGCACACGTGGTGCCAGCTGGCTGAAGCAGTCGACGAAGAAGTCTGTCAAAGTCTTGTAGAGGTGCCGCCTCCACTTCAGCTCGCGCACAGAGTTTCCCTCGTCCGGATAGATCTGCGATGTAAAGTTTGCTTGGGTTTTATATTATTTCCATAAGACGCTACATATAAGGTCATATTGACATCTTGATGCAATGGCCAAAACACACCATTTAATTGGTGATTTATACCATTGTAGGTGGTGTAAACGACACAATTTTACCAAAAAAATCTAAAGCGTAGGTATGATTGTCAACACCTGAATCAGGTCCATAGCACACTGGTGCCTATTAACATCTACACAGTTTCTCATCGTTTATCTTTCATTTTAATTTACGAGAGAAAAAATACGTTGAAATATTCCGGAAAAGTTTTTATATATTTTTTTGCTGTTATCTAAAATGTGCATTGTCAAAGCCTGATTATAACATAATTTTATATTTGTGAGTGTAAACTGTGGTACTCGACCTGGAGTGTGTAGTTTGCATCAATGCTGATAAGATGTTTAATCAGTTCTGCGGTGTGCTGGAAGTGGACCATCTCTGAAAACGAAAAAATATATATATACATTATATTTGGTATAATTCAAATACATTTCCCACAACTTGTGAGATCAAACACACCAGTAAGAAATGGCTCAGCCTTAATGCATGTGGTGTAATAGCACAGACTAAAATCAAGTGTCCAACAAATTTGTATGTAGGAGCACTGGTGCTGGATATTGATTACGAAGTGCACTATTTATAATGAGGACATCTCGTTTATTCACCTTCTTTGCATTTGGGCAGTGGGAGAGGACATAAGTAGCGGCCAGCAGTTGTTTTGGCTTATGCATTACATTGCAATGTGTTGCATATTTTGTTACTTTATAATTACATTTACACTGAAACAAAGATGAGCTTGAGGGAAAAATAACTAAATAATATTAAAAAAATACTAACGTTTAAAAGTAGTAAAAACCCAAATTACAATTTTTTTAAAGTTAATCTGTAAAGTCAATCATCAAATTCCTGCACCTGAAGTAGTAAAATTAACCAATATGTACTTTTATATCATTAATATCTGAGTGATGCTTATTATAAACTCACCTTATTCAAAAAATAAACATGTCTTGCATCTTTACATGTCTTGCATCTTTCTAAGATATCACAAATCCCATCATACAGAATAATCTAATGTAATCATGAAAATAATCTGCTTTCAAATTTTCTGTAATTGGGTTTCTCAGTTGGTGATCAGACTGATTCATTTGTTTTTAAATAAAATACACTTTAATATCACATGTTCCGTGTAGGAGGATGTTATCGTCTTTCAAACGTGCTTTGTAAATTAGCCTTGTTTTTAAAGAAACCTTAAAGACGCATTTCTATTTTTGTTGAGGTTTTTTTTGTCTAATTACCGACACTTATCTCATGTTGTTTAAATATCTTGATTTGAAGCTTTCGTGATTGCAAGAATCCATACTCTTTGGTTCTTTCGGTAAGGTCATGTAGGTTGAAAAAATAAAATAAAACAAAATAATAATATATCACGACGTTTCGATCGCAACATAAGTGGTCGTCCTCAGGCGGGAAAAAATATTGGTTTATTTTCTTTTTTCTACCTCCGTGACTTTACCGAAAGAACCAAAGAGTATGTTGTTTAAATACTTGTCAATGCACTTGTGAAAGGTGCTTAACGTCTGTAATTGATGAAGGTTATATAAAAACAACACCTGTGCTAGAAAGGCTTCTTAGATGGTTAGAAAGCTATTTTACAACTAGCATTTTGCCCGTCCAGTAAATCTGAAACTTGCAAGCGAAAATCAGACCGCGACGTGATATTCATTGCATCCATTCGTGTGCAATTTGTAAGGCCGCGGTGACACAGACTTATTTTATTTAAAGGTGATAATCCATTGTTCATCATGACGTCCTTTTTACTTCGTTGCCTCAACAGCGTTACGGAGATCGCGTGACGTGAGGGTTCTGCCTTTGTAGTGACGTTGTAAGTTGACGCCGAGGAGGGGGGAGGAGGCGCCTCGGCCCCCCATGTGGTGTGACGTCACCCGCTAATGGGGGGGTCTATTTGGATGACGTCACCTTTCTTGAATATTAATGAGGGGGCTGGTCGATGTGGAGTGACGTCACGAGTGTTAAGGACACCTGGGTTATTATAGTAGGTATGTGCCTCTGCTGACGATTGCCCTAACTAACAATGTTACACTGGTACTGATGACACCTCCTCTCCTATCTTTCTTAGTTATTTTAATCGAAATGAAAGTTAAGTTGTAACACATTTAACAGACCTAGTGAATGGTTAAACAAAATCAACCTGGGAGAGAACAAGCAAGGAAGTTCAGGAGATCTGTGAAAAATAAGTACATCTAATATTAGAAGAATGAGGGGAGCTGTGGCACAGTGGTTAGCACACTGCACTTTGAACCTGGTGACCTGCGTTGTTGAATTCCTGGACTGACCCTGGGCAAATTGGACTGACCAGTAGTGAAATATGGTCAAACAATCCCCATGATTGATATAGAATGAGAATGCCTTCATCCAGCAGTGGATAGACAATGGGCTGTGAATTATTACTTTATTCGTCTAATAATAATGCAAGATAACTAATAAAATATTGATAGCTACAGGATGAATATAAATGGTATTTTAATTTGTTTTCAATACTGCATATATATACGTATACACACACACACAAACTGCACCAGAGCTATAGTAAAAGCCTTTTCAGAGAATCCTTACCATTAGCTGTGCCATGGATGATTAAGAATCTTTCGGCCTTGAGGTAGCTGAGCCGACTGCTCACTTTGGCAGCCTGATAAAGTGAATGAGACATTTCAACAGAATAAAAAAAATACAGAAAAAATATTGAGGTAGAATTCCATACAAAATAGTCAAAGAGCATAATTACGTGATAATGGTCAAGAAAGATGGATTGTAAAAAATAAGACAATATATAAGTTCGTGAAGATATATGATCAATAAAAGGTGCAATATGTAATGTAAAGCGAAATTCCCATGAATATACCAAAACAAATTTGTTAAACACATTCTTACTCCTTCTGTAAGACACCATTTTAAAGGCTTACAAAGCCATCGTAATCTATACAAACACAGGGTTGATATTTCACGGAAGCAATGTTATTTATTTGCAGATGATGTGCATCTCATTTCCTAAAGGCACAAGGAAAATGTAATGACAGTAATTCACACATGTGGGTGCACAATGTTAAAGACATGGATGTAAAATGCATCACGTATTGAATGCTCCTGCACATGCTCTGTCTTTCACAATGAAGATGAGTAATGTAGAAGTGGGTTTGCATTCAAGGCTGGTCCTCACCTCATACGCATTCTCCTCACGGGCTGGCAAGCCCAGATAGCGCTCAGAAAATGCAGAGGCTGTGGGAGAATACAAACCGTAGTTCACACGAATACTTTCAACTCAATTTTTGTGTTTAAATCACTTTAGAAATTATGTAAACGTATACATCGCACGAATAAATACGTGTAAAAATACTTTCAAAAATGTATTGCATGCAGTGATGTGATGATATGATGATTATCTCATGTTTTATGTATGTTAAAATGGGTCTCCTTCTCTGTTAAATATCACTGCTTAAATTAACGTTATTAGGGAGGGTCAAGCAGTACAGCTTAATACCATAATTCCAGACACACATTATGACCTGTAGCACACACTGAGGCGAATGGCAGCGTTGGAACACCATACATTAGCCGATAGGATATTGTACATGTTTTAAACGTAAAATTGTACACAATGGGAACGCATATCGCAAACCTACAAGCTGTGCACAAAGTGTGCCTCAGTGTGCCCCAATACCAGTTTAAACTATTCCCAACACCAAGATTGCTGCATCGTCTTACATATCCTCTCCAAGATCTATCCAACGCAGGGTATCCCTGAGGTTTTTAAATTACAATTACGGTACCAGATTATATAATACCACGGCAATGTATCTGGGGGCTGTGGGTCTGTACGTGCAGATTTCGCTTCGTAAGGTATCGAAGGCTTGGTAATTTTTTTTAATGGAAATGCCTTTCGACCTCAATCGAACGTACTGTTCTGTCTTTCCCTTTCCTGCTGCCCCTCTCTGCGGTCTCTTTAGTTGTGTTCCCACTCTCTACCCTATGGTTTGAGGCATATAGCTAGCTCGGCATATCATATTCAGGCCACAAAGCGATGTGAGCTTATTACCTTCAGAAGGAGAAAATAAGAAGGGAAAAACGAAATTGTCATTATACCAGTGAGTTGTTGTGGGCGGATGATGGAAAACCAGTCTACCAGAATTTAATTAAAATTGCTCGAACAGAAATTTCAGTCACACAACCTAAGCCCTTCTGTTCATGTCAGGGCAGTATTTTGTTTCACCCTGTCCCTGCTTGTATCTCCAACAATGAAAAGCCTTCCAGCCTAATTTACTAAAGGGCATTGTATTGACAATATTGTAGAAGCCATTAGGAAATACTCAATTGGAAATTGGGTGACATTTCCAGTAAAATGGCCACCTAGATGTGACCTCCAGGGATCTCAGATTCATTCTTATCCCTTATGTAATTGTAAGCTTCATCACCATGTTGCAGCTTACTGTAATATTTTGCTTCATTATAACATTTTATTTGCACTGTACATTTTCACATTAGCTGTAATTCCCCATTCTTTAAGCAAGTTCTACGGGTCAGGAGGAGGAATGCAGAGTAGATTTGGGTGAATTTGTGGGTGATGGTTACCGTGGGAGAGTGGAAACGAGACAAAAAAAACAATATAATTGAACAAAAAGGTTTTTTTGTTAGTAGCTTTTATGTTGGGTTTTTATGGTTTATGGAAAATGTATTATAAGAATGGATGAATTTACAAGAGACTTGTATTTTTGCCGTACATTAACTCACAAGTCACTTTAAAAAGGAGATATATGAAGGTAAACAAATAATCTTTTCTGAGCATGGTTCAACAGCAGCTGCCTAAATAGTCAGGGTTTGTGCCACTCTCATATATTTATACTTTCATAGGCATAGGGCCTCAAGCTGATTTATCTCTTCGGTTTCCCACTATACACATTGAAATTAAAACTGCAATCCCACAAGAGCTTTCCTTCTTTCTTACATCCTTCATCATTACCACAGTCAGTAATGCAATGCTACTTACAATTATCAGGCTTGTTTGGCTTAAAAATATTTAACCAGATGTTGGTGTAACTCCCCGAGCTTTTCTTAAATATCTTGTACCATTGGTAACAAAATATTTCTCTCGTAAAAAAAAAGGAAAATACAATTTTGTCAAACTTTAACGAGTTGCATATATACATAGTTTGTTATTGTCTATATTACAGAGAGTCTAACCACAAACGTTTTGGTTCAAGTACTCAAACCATAATCAGAACTGAAACCGGAACCTAAATTGGAATGGAAAAAAATAGGTATGGTTTTTGTTGCCCATGAACAATTTTAACTGGTTGAAACTAGTTTTTTAAGCAAACATTTAACTGCAACTGAACCTTCTAAGGCTGTTTTAACCAACTAAATTGGTTATAGTTCACCTAGTTACAGTGAGGGAAAAAAGTATTTGATCCCCTGCTGATTTTGTACGTTTGCCCACTGACAAAGAAATGATCAGTTTATAATTTTAATGGTAGGTTTATTTGAACAGTGAGAGAGAGAATAACAACAACAAAAAATCCATAAAAACGCATGTCAAAAATGTTATAAATTGATTTGCATTTTAATGAGGGAAATAAGTATTTGACCCCTCTGCAAAACATGGCTTAGTACTTGGTGGCAAAACCCTTGTTGGCAATCACAGAGGTCAGACGTTTCTTGTAGTTGGCCACCAGGTTTGCTAAGTAATTCTTATAAATGAATGAGCATTCTCTCCACATTCGTTAGAGTGATAGACCTATGATTCAGAATCTCAACCTCAAAGAACCATATTGAAGACGACTATTTGCGATTAATTGTTGAGGTTACACAAACGCAATTCACAAGTCCAATACCATTCCACCTCAGCTGATCTTTACCAATTTCCAATACCTCCAAAGTCTCACAAGACAAGTGCATTTTTCCAGCGCTGCTTTGCAAGGGTTTTGTGTTTTCAAGACAATGTAGTTTATTAAATTAATAATTAAATGGGGGGGTACGCATGCCAAGCTGTTCCTCACTGTCGAAACCTTGTGTTACCCATGGGCACATCAAGGGCAATGGAAACCAGAACTGTAAATGCAAATCTTTAACAATACAATGATGAATCACAGCACCTTTAATTATACTTTATGCAAAAATAGCTCCTTTTGTCCCATGATATTTTTCATATTTTTTTGTAACTATGTAAATTAATGCCTTTATTTCACAGCATTACTGAGAATCACAAGAACCTAAGCAGTATAATTTATACCAAAGACAGTGGAAAACGATATTCAGAGTTCAGTGCTGACAGCCTGGTTTAAGCAAGTGTTGAGTTGTCATGTTGATATGGACCCAATTATGAATGACCTCTATAACCCCGTGTCATTTAGTTTTCTAATGAAGAACCTTAAATTCGTTCATGAAGCCCATTTGGTCACCAGTGCGAAACAGATTTGCTCCATGCTTCCCGTAGCCAAGCCATAACCTCGCATTATAAAAGGGCTTTGTATTTTATACCATGCTGTCAAAATGCAGATGAGAAGAATGTTACAGGAGCAATATAGTACGTGTGAGCATGTGCCTTGTCTGCACAACGCTCTCAAGCAACATTCACTTACAACGGAGAACAACAATTTAATACTTGGCTGGAGATGTAGCACAAGCAAGCTGGTAGTTCTGGAAATGTTAATTTTAAATTTATCTTCATCACATTTTTAAATAGCTTCTCTATGCATGTAGCTCTGAAAATAGCTCAGCTATATCTCACTCTTAAGCGAGATAGGGCCTTCTGCTGCCTGATTACTTCAATCCATTTAGTCACTCAGAAAATTACAGTCCTTTTTCATCATACCTTTCTGCACTATGTATATCCATCTGGTTTTCTGCGTTCCTACTTTCTTTGTTCCCTCTACGTACATATATAGTATGAAATATTGTATTCTGTGTCGTTTTAGTCTCATTACATGTCAAACCATTGCAGCCTTTTCTCCTCAATCTTCTCTATCAACGTAATTTTCTGTCTTAGTTGTATTCTAATTAGTTCGATCCTCAATAATTGGAGTATCAGTAGACTCACGATTCTTGTCAGTCAACTGGTTTTGCAGTGAGTCTTTTCATATTTTCAGCCCTCCTCAAGGCCCAACACTGCGACCCATATCGCAGCACTGGCGTCAAACACTCTCGTTTTCATTCTAATTGAGATGTTGCCATCTTATGTGACCTTGTAGTGTATTTCCAAAGCTGCACCAGCCAATCTGATTATCCTCTTAATTTCATCCTCACAACTTCTATTGTGTGATATCAGTCCTCTTAGGCATGTGAACTTGTCCAATTTTTCCTCTTTTTCTCCCAACTTTTATCATCATTTTTATATTATGTGTTTGCATTGTGCTTTTTTACCTACTTTGTCTGTTATCGTCTGCAGTATTTCCTGGATTTGGGCTGCAAGCCCAATATGATTAGGAAATCTAAGATAGCTAACGTCCTTCCAACACAACATTATTCCTTCTCCTACATTTGTCAAAACTAGAGCTATTATCACTTAGAAGACAAGACAAGGCTCTAGCTTAAATAATACTTTGTTTGATTGGTAATTCTTACAATTTGCTTTCATATTTGTATATCTTATACATGTGTAGTGACATCGCTGAATGTCAACATGCTGGGTGCAGTACCGGCCCTAGAGAGGCACGGCGTGCGGTGTAGCGACATCACGGACACCACAGCGGTGTGGGTGTAGTACCGGCCCTAGAGGGGCCCGCTGTAGCGGTGTAGCGACATCGCGGACACCACAGCGGTGTGGGTGTAGTACCGGCCCTAGAGGGGCCCCGGTGAATGCTGACTGACAGCGCAAGATGGCACCACTCTTTGCGTGCAGTGCCGACCCGACAGGACAGGGTGTGTGGGTGTCAGTCGAAGGATGAGGTTATTCGAGGCCATGGCACTCTGGTTGACCCAGGAGGACACGTGATCAGTTAAGTCTACAAAGGGGCCCCAAGAGGGGGCTAGGGGTGGTCACGTGATTGGGACCCAGATCCTTCCCAAGGATTCTGGAAGGTGGAAGTGGCCAAGGGCGGAGCCGCTCATGCCACAGAGAATATAAGCCGGGTCCCAAGAGGGACCAGGGTTGTTGTTCATCCTGGAAGAAACCCTTAGTCTCCAACACGTGGACCCGGGCCGAAGCTGTTGGTCCCGGTCCGTAGTAGCAGTTACGTAGTAACTAGTGTCGTTAGCCTGGTGGTCACAACCTGGTTAACTACACCAGTCACGTGGTAACTAGTGTAGTTAGCCTGGTGGTCACCACCATAGGTTGTTATTCTGTTAAGGGGAAAGTTACCCTGTGTGTTGGAATTAAATAAATATGTTGCCTCCAAGTCTACGTCTGCAAATCAGTTGAACCCATTACACATGTGGCACTACTGTATAATTTTACAGTATGTGAAAATTATACATTAAGGTATTAGCACAATGTCACAGCTTCCAACTCTTTACACACTAACCATCTTGTGACACTAATGAGTCCGAGGTATACCTGGCATAGCCAGCAACTACCAAATGCCTCAAGTCGGCAGAATTGGCTTTTCCTACCATAAAGCATGGGGTCGAAGATGGGCGACTCGGCCACACCACAGCGTGCTTGTGCCTCTCCCATCCCCAGCACCAGGGTTGCCAGGTAACCCCCATAGCCCTGAGAGGACAGGACACAGGTTCACGGAGCGACGTATCGCGAAGGACATGATGCCGCACACTCACGTAGTCATTGCCTGCAGCAAAGAGTCCTGGAAACAATTGCGAGATTATAAAATGCTAAATCACAAAAAGAGCTCCCCATTACATTAATTGTAGATTTTTCTAAAAAAAATTGCGAGTGCATTTTTAGATCTATTCTTTTGATTCAAAATACATTTGTGACATCTATTTCATTGAGGTACGAGTCAACAACTGAATGTGTGTTTTGCAACAATGCTTATAACATTTTATGAGAAGCCTAAATGAAAAATAAAGGTATTAAAGTTTCCATACCTTGCCATACACCCCAATCCTATTCTTGTCGATGTACGGCAGTTCTAGCAGTGACCTAAAATGATAAACGTTCGTGCTGAACACAAACTGTCAAACTCCAAAACACATTATTTGTGCTTACAGCATTTTTGCTAAATACTTTGAAAAGTCATTCTAAAACAACAACCATTTGTTTTTACACATAGCCATTATTATTTTTTTCATAACAAACAGCTCTTCGTGATCAATAAAACAAAAAATACAATATGAACTAATTTCACTGAAAGACAGTTTGTTTATTACGAAATCGATACTCAATTGTCTAAATTTAAACGTAGACATTGAAGCGTGCACACTTTGCTATATAAAGTTAAATTGTGAAGTTAAATATAACACAATTGGAAAATATATATTTTAATAGTATTCTAGTACTAAGATTCATACTTGATATGTGTCAGATCGCATGAGCACAAGGTGTGCTGTACGCCCTCCTATACTCGACACAGCCTAAGAAATTAAGTTGTCACAAAATGTGCCAATGAACAAAACGTACCATTTTTAGTTGCTTCAACACACCGGTACGTTGGAGAGCAATCCACAACATTTAACAATTTGGTACGACGTTTCGTTGGGAAGTGTAACCAACATCATCCGATGATTTCCAGAACTGTGAAAATCTCCTCCCTCCCTGGGCCTTATATAGATGGCGTGATGTTATCAACGTATCCACTCGATCTGAGCCAAATAAATTGACCATATTGGTTTGCGAAAGCCAACGTGTTATATTCCAGTACTTTTTGCTTTATTTTCAAGACGAATTCCAGGAGCAATAAATACTTTTTAGCGAGATGGTGTTTATTGTTATTATTCAGAAGCATTTTACTGCACACAATCTGTTGCATAAGTTACCATCAATTCCATATCAGTGCAATACTAAACAAGAGGAGTGTATTGGTTGTTTCTCGAAATAAATTGAGGAACTGTTAACCTGCTTACTATTCTATCTCACCCAAGAATAATAATAAAAAAAACATTCAAGTATTGATACCACACAACAGGCATTCCTGCAGGTCCACAAAACTTCCAATGCAGCGTCTGTTAGTGATCAGCATTATGTAATGCACAAACCAACATCTCTGTCCCACAACACATGACAAAATAATGACAACTGATACACATATCTCCACAAGTCCCACAGCCATTGGGGATTCTCATGCACTGGCGTAATTCCTCGGCGTGCGTGGGCAACGCACCGTAACGCAGTGACATAATCGTGGTCCTCCACTGTGCCCAGCTTGCGATGCACCTCGTGCAGGTAGCGGCTGCCGTGGAAACCCGCGCCGCGCCCGTCAAACCGGGCAACAATCGTTGCATGCCCACTCGCCAGCGCAGCTTCCCATGACAAGCCGAACACCTCGGACACGCTCTGGTGCCCGGGCACACCATCACTGTCACCGAGAACGCGGGGGTCAGGGTTACGTGTACATGTACGGCACCTTTCGTCAATCCTGCACAGCGGGGGTGGGAGAGAGACCCCCAGGAGTAACGAAACACAATTGATCATCGCAAAGGGGCAGTTCTCTGTAAGGTCACGTGCACACCGTCCATTTACGTGCTTGCGAAAGGCAAGCACGCTGACTAAAGCCACTGTAATGATGTGCAGTTAAATGGCCAAAGAGGCGAGGGGTATATCTGTGACGTTGCAGCAAAGGCTCGAGGTATCTCTCTCGAAGTCTCCTATCTATGTACAAAGATCATCATGGTGCCGCTTCATATCTCCCGTGGGAAGGACAATCCATTCAGGGTCAAAAAGCAATGGGATGAATGCACCGCGAATCAAAGCAGAAGCTGAAATTTAAGTCCTCCCAGAAAACACAATCCCTATAGATCTTATTAAAATGGCATCGAGGTCTATAGGATTACTTTCATGATAGGACTCCTTTCATGACAAAAAGTCAATAGATGAAGAATACTGACAGCGTAGACTGCGCACAATGTAATCTGCTATCCATGACAGTATGGTACACAATGTTGACTTTATACAGAATATAAATTAATAGCGCCTCATTGTAAATGTCCGCGAGCAGAAGAAGTACATTTAATATAGTTGAATTAGCCGGTGATTTTATTTTATTGCAAGATATGTATTTTAATTACTGGAGCGTACTCTAACAAAATAACAAAGGCGATTTTCATGATGATAACGATGGCATCTTAGTCATTATTTTATGCTAATTATAATCTTAAGTGCTTTGCACTGACGTTGGTAAAACATATATTTATTTAATATATATCCATCTGAATATTATACATTTTAATAAAAAGTCACTAATATAAAACAAATATTGTAAAGTTTACAATGGCAGTGGTGTATGATTAAAAATAATGACGTAACAATTTTCTGTATACTCCGTGGCTGAGTTATTTTCACATGTAGATATGCAAAATGTACAGTATATAGATCCAACGGAAGATAAGCAGCTGAAGTGCATGCACGCTTTCAGAATGTAAAACAGTCTGAAGGTCGATGCACTCACATGATAAGCAGTAGAGGATAGAGGAATTCTTCAGTAAAACCTGCAGGAAGCATCAGCTGTAGAGGCACCACTGCAAACACACAGAATTACTTATTTCTTTCACTATCCTTCATCCACCAGTCTTTTTTTCGATGAAATGTGCATGCATGATGTTATATAAAATAACAATGTGATAGAACTTAAAAGTGAACATGGAATTTGTTGGTTTAAAACAAATTAAGAGGTTACTTTGGAGACAATACAGTACTCTATTTTGAAATGTATCAGTAAGAAGTTAGCAGACCATCAATTGCAAGGCATAGAATGAGTCACCGACACGGCAAATTGATGCATTATCACAAAATCGAGGTCAAGATGTGATTAAAGACTCTTGTTTGTATATTCTCATTCATTGTGTAATTTGCGTATTTTTGTTTTCTCTATTCACCTAAATATAGCATTATCGTACATTTGCATATAATTTACATGAACCATATGCGTGTGTCATAAGGAAAAATGGTTTCAATTGAAGAATTAACGCATCGTTACAAGTTGATTCGTCACATACAAACGATACAACTGCAATAATGTTAGCGAAATGGTCAATTCCACGGTAACAGAATCGCACAAACAATCCAGGCACATTAGACATGATGGTGTAATGCTCGTTTTCATATCTCACCGACGTTTCTAAACTCATAAAAGACCAGATTTTGTTCATGTAAAATGTTTGTGGTTAGCAGGTTCTGTGTCCCATACTGTAATTCAGATACATACTAGGAAATAAATAAGGGAGAAGATGAATGCATCAAAGCCAGGTGTCCACATGTGGTGCATAAAATGTCGTAATTGTACTAACGGACACAAAATAGAAATATAAAAAATGGCCACAATTCAAAGCACCACACAAAGGTAGTGATCTATAAACAGCGTGCGTCGCTCTCTCTCTCTCTCTGTTTAACTGGGGCTCATTTAAGTTAATTTGTAGGAGTGGTCTGCTGCCTCGAATAATTATTTATGAATGCCATTTATTTGTGTTTTATTTATCATGATCACATTCAATCTAACCTTTAACCCTCCATTGCCGACTGAAGGGTACCATAAATAAAAATTATTATTGAACAAAATGGCAATTTGGCAACACTTTGTCAGCAATATATTTGTACAGTGATACAAATGTTTCACCATGGCCCAGAAGATAAATGTGTGCAGCAGAAGCAGAGTGCAGGAGGCTCATCTCACATGGCTATCATCATTGAACGATGTGGAGGTGTGTTACAATACAATTATTACATTCCTCGACAGAATCATAGGAATGTGGAAATATATTTGTGTTGTTATTGTATAACCGTCCAGCATCTATACAAAAACATATTCGATTATTCATATATATGTATAAAGATTGAAACTGTGATAATGTAGACGACTTTATTGTAATCTTAAGGTTGTCCAAAAACAAAATAAAAATGAAACCATGTTGAACACTAAAATGGCACGTTACATTTTAATCGCAGAGGTTTGGAAATGGTATACACCGATACAAACATGTGGAAGGAATGCATGACACGCAAGTCCAAATTATATAATCATCACGCAATGTTGTTCCATATGTGCAACTGTAAGCGTGGTATAAAAGTCCAAACAACAGCAATTATAAACAAACTGACCATCTACCAAATGCGATACACCTGATGCTTTGCACGCCCGGCTCAAACCCCTGGTTTCCAACTGTTTTGTACAAATGCAAGAATCAACAAATCCCCATGAGCCATCATCCGGACTCTGTTACTTTGGTCTCTAACATCCCTGTCAGTTTTGCTTGGGAATGCCAGGTCCCTGAGCTCATGTTTTCCGACTACTTTGTTCTTTTTTTGCTCTGTTTCATTTTCTGCGTTTTCATCTGTTTTTGTGCTGCTGTTTACGTTATTTTCGGCATTTTGTAAGGACATTTGAAACGAATAAGCATTTAAGTGCAACGTAAATGACAATTATTTTCTTTCATAAACTGCAATTGTTTAAGAAATTAAGAAGCTGAAACTGTTGCACACATTATCTCCTGAACTATACTATTTTTATCATATGAATCAATTATTATAATTATTATAAACGAAAAGAAAGCTCGCTCTGTTAATTATCGGAAAGCTTGTTCTGAGCGAGCTTTCTTTTCTTCATAATTTCAGAATCAAGATGCTTTGTGAAGCAATCCTAAACATTTCTGATATTTAGTTCATGTCATGCTTGAACATACGTACTATAAACGTACTTTTAACGTAATATTTATAAACATGTACAATTTCCAAGACGTATGGCCGGCGTAGAAGAATCGGCCAAATACCCTCCAGGGTGGCTCTCCGGAGCTCCCCTTCCGCCAGCAGTGGCGTACAATATTACACGTACATACGTGATCATGAATGGTAATATATCCTACTTTGTCTTTGCTTGGTAATGGGAGAAGATACATTAATCACTTGCTTGCAATGTGACACGAAAAGACTGGTGAAAATTATATTTTAGACGTGTGAAACTACAGGTGGCCTAGGACACTGCATTATTCGTGATAATTTTCCTCCTCACGAAATCAGGGCAGAATTTGCTGAGAACAATTTTCACAAGGGTAATTTTTAAAGAAATTTTGTTTAGTAGAAATCACCAATTACTGAAAGTGTGAATTCTAATTTTTCAGAAGCATTATATTGTCCAATTCCAGTTAACTAGAGGCTGCTACAGCTGTCTAATGTACACCCAAAAAGTAGCTACAATTTACGTTCTATATTCACATGTAATTTGCGGAGCATAATATGCATCGGAGCTCAAGTGTCAATGATTGATCCCAGTTTTGGTTACTTTTTCTAGTGTGGCTTTCAGATTTACATCGTTATTAAATTTTAGCTGTAATTTCATAATCATATTTCTAAATGGTTGAGAAAACACTGGAAAGAAACCTGATAGATCTGTCTTAAAACTCATTCACTTTGGGCCCATCGATTCAGTGACCAGATAATTTAATAAAGCAGACATTTTATTGGCTGCACCACAAGCTCCATGGTAATTAGGCCTCTTGTGGAGGTTATAAATATTTCAATGGAACGCTTTTTTTCTATCAGTGCCCCTGTGCACACGCCTTACCGTAATCTTCGATGGTGACATTACGATAGATAGTGGTGGGTGTCTGCCTCTGAGCCAGCATGCCTCTCAGCTCAGTGTTGTTTTCCAAGATGTGAAAGCCTGAAAACCCACACGGTTAGTTTGCTAGATTTCCAGTCTACAATATATGGAACGATTGCTACATTTAACAATTGACCCCCTCGCGATTCAATGATTTGTCACACAATTCAACTCAATTGGCTATTCTAGTTTCTTTTTACTCTGTGATGGGTGTCGAGTCACAAGTTGCTACAGGGGTCATGTGAACCAATAACATACAACGTATAGGAAGAGAAAATTATAAATTGCTATGTAAAGTGTAAGATTCGATCCAGGCATTGTGTAAGAATACATTTTATTTGGTGAATCGTTGTATCGTTACTTACCTAATTGCTGTGCTAAAATGAAAGAACATCTCTAATTGGTGGTTATTTAATTGACTCATAATTAATTTAAATAATTTATAATTGAGTAGACAGCAAAGGTAGAGAAATGAAAGCAATATGCAGCCTTTGGAATAAAAAGCAGATGACAAAGCATCCGGTCGACAGCTTTAACACTTACTGCCCGGGTTGTCTGTGCTGTGCACTGTCACCATTGGGACAGTAGGGCCTGGAAACACATTTCATGCAGGCAACAACACAAAAATAAAATATTGATTTACAAGCCTTGTTGTCATCATATTTCCCGTATACACACATCATTCGTACATATAAAGTAAAAGCAAAGTTTCCCAATGCTCTAGCGGCACTGGATGGTGCTCATTTTCATTTTTGGTTCTCAGTCAGGGGAAAAGCCCCACAATGCATTGATTAAAAAATGAGCACAATGATTTGGCTATATCAAAGAGGAACGCCTGTGTTTGCATTTCATCAAAGTGTATGTTTCCACTTCTCAGGTAAAATCCCAATCATGACCAGACAAGACCCTATATGTGCCCTTCGAGATTAAGGTACAATCTGCTAGCGAATGCACACTTACGAGTGCACATGCACAACAGACACACAGAAAGACACACTGTCGTTGTTACGCTTGGCACGGTGCTGAGAAGTAATCAGCAATCTTCTGTGGAGCTGTGTCATTGTGCTCATGCTAGACTTGTAGACAGTCAGACAGTTTTTTTTTTACAACTCAATTTTATAAATCCATTCCCTCTGCCCCTACATTGACTCAGAAAGATATAACAATAAGAAAATAAATAAGATGACGCTGTTCCTATGAGTAATTTATCTTATATATTGGAAAACTCTTTAACCTTTCTGACTCTGTACTACCATGGGCCAACTTACTTTTAAAGTCTCCCATGCCCAAGAGAACAATCTCCTTGGTCCATAAAAATGCTGGGCCCAGGGATTAATATCAGTGAGTATTGCCTCTCAGCCACGCTGGATCAAGAGGCCCTTATACCAGATACCATATACTTTCAGTGAGCTTGTCGTTCTTCTCACCTATACTTTAGTTTGTGATAAAACATTCCTTTGATATTCTTGGTTCTTTCGGTAAAGTCACGTTGAAGGGAAACAATAAAATATATATAAAACAATAAAATTCTCACGACGTTTCAACTGCAACACAAGTAGTCATCATCAGGTGTTCTTGCCGTTGGTTTTCACACCTGATGATGACTGCTTGTGTTGCAGTCGAAATGTCGTGAGAATTTTATTGTTTTATATATATTTTATTGTTTCCCTTCAACGTGACTTTACCGAAAGATCCAATAATATGAATCACTGCAGTCACGAAAGCTTTAAATCAAAATTCCTTTGATAATTTGGTCAGTGTCACATGCGTGTATTCCATCATTTAAAATGGGGTTGGTAGACTGTGCAAATATAATTTTGTGAGTTGGCACCCTAAACTTATAGTCCTACGAGGGGGTCTACCGATAGCATAACAGCAAGTAGGCTAAGAATTCATCAATCCATATGATTATTTTTGTTTTGTTATCGCTTCGTGTATTTGAGTTTTATCTTGGATTCTCTATGAGGAACTGGCTAAACACCTCAAGCAGTAGGGCCGTTCAGATAAAAAAAAAGTGTTTTGAGATGTACATATAGTTGGTGACATCCACTGCCTGATTCTGCATCAACTCACCATCACAGAAGAGCAGGAAGTATCTGGTGCTTGGGCTGAAGGACACGTGGTGAAAGGAGCAGTTCGGGATGACTCCACAACTGAGGCACTGCCGCTCAAATGAGCCGCCCGTCTCCACACTGTGAGGGCCCAGCGGTCACGCATTGCTTAGCCACCACTTACAGCTCACCGAGACCAGAATGAACTTAAACAGTGCTACTACGAAGAAAACACACAGCACTGGCGGTGACTTTGGTGCTGCCCACTACAATGGCCGCAGCAGGGTTTTGTTCCGATTTATATTTGCTTCGTTCCTGTGGTTTCTTTGATTTGTGTTTGCTTTTGTCATTTTGGTGACTCAGGTCACTCTTGCAAATGAAGCTATCCTGGTTACTTGAATAGTTGTCTGGTTAAACAAAATAAACTTGGAACTTGAACAGCAAAGGATGGATGATTAATGGCATGGAATCCCCACTTTGTATCTTCGCCTTGTCCAAACACACACTGTTGTGCATCTTGGTAATTACTCAATAACTATTGAGTTGCAACTGCACATGGAGTGAGGCAGTGGTACTGAGCTGTTAGTTGTTTTCATTCAACATGTTTTTCCACTCTACGGGTAAGATTACAACCTCTGAAAAGAAAAAAACTTCTATTTTTAAAATCAAATTCTTTGTGAGTTTTGGTGCATTGCTCCAGCTTGTACAATTTTTCCGTTCTCGTGTTATAAGTGAAATGATGGACAAACATCTTTCAATCAAACAGCAAGAGTGTGATGATTTACAAGGATAGAAAAGCAATAAACTATTAAATTATGTAAGAAGATTTCGATTTAAAGCTTTAGTGACTGCAAGGATTCATCTTCTTTGGTTCTTTCAGTAAAGTCACGTAGAATGAGAATAAAATAATAAATTGATAAAATAAAATAACACAATAATTCTACGTGACTTTACCGAAAGAACCAAAGAATATGTAAGAAGAGTTTGGACATATTCTTGGGTCTTTCGGTAATGTCATGTAGATAGGTTCAAAGAAAATAACAAAAATATTTTTTTCTTTAAACCTATCTACGTGACTTTACCGAAAGACCCACGAATATGAATTCCTGCAGTCACGAAAGATTTAAGTCAAGATTTAAGAGTTAAGACATTGTGAGGAGAAACGTTTTTCTGGGTTTCTGAGGTGTTTTGCGGAGATATGTAAACTGTGGAATCCCACCTGTACAGATGCCGATTTGTTGGGCCATCCTCAGTGCTCAAATAGTACCTAGAGAATGAGATAAACATACTTTAGATTTGTTTTGTATATTTTAAACATTTTCATACGTTAAAAAGTAAAAATTGCGTTTGTTTTGTTCGAAACTCAACGCAATTATAACCCAACGATTACAATATGTATTCATCAGTGTAAATGTAAAGGAAAAAGAAATCCGCAAGTACACATTTGCAAGCACGAACAGGCATGCACACACAAGCACACATACGTACAGCTTGCGCTGGGTCGGGTGGTGAGCCAGCAAGGCTGTCACCTCCCAGTCACCGGACGTGATAAATCGCACGTCATGACCTCTCCTTTCCTGCGTTCCACCAGCAAAGCAAGTTTAACATTTTAATTAATCTATTTCAATGCAACTCATTAACACTGCATACAAATACGTGTGCATATTGCAGCTTCGGTTTATAGGCACAAATGCGTGTTCTTGGTGTGCAATCAGTTGAAGCATTCTGCTTGGAACTCTCTCTTTCATGTTTTAGAAAATTAGTTTTCACAAATATAAAGCGGTAATATGCTTAAACTAATCGAAAAGTATATTTTATTGATCTATGTAACATCCAGTGAACTTTAGCATTACAACTCTGCTTCATGGCGATGGTAAGTAACTTGATTTTAAAAAGCATATATTAATTGTAAATGCTAAATTGTAAATAGTATGTTAAATTTTGATTTAAAGCTTTTGTGACTGCAGGGATTCATACCCTTGGTTCTTTCGGTAAAGTCACGTAGAAGGGAAACAATAAAATCATAAAAATATTGTTATATTGTTTTATATTTTTATTATTTTATTGTTTCCCTTCTATGTGACTTTACCGAAAGAACCAAGAATATAATATTATGTTACTCTGATGCTATTAAGTGTTAATGAAATGTGTCATGTGTTAATTATGTGTAAAGTAAATGTTATGATGGTAATGTGGCATGGTTTAATGATTTTATGAATGGCGAACATCCCCTATAATCGGAGGACCCCCTCCCCAAATTAATCCGGCTTCAAGAAGTATTACTGCATCTGTAGTTTTTTTGAGATGTCATAATTGACAAGTAAATTCTCCAGAACATAAATGAAAGATTTTTGTTAATATACTGTACCATGAAATGCACGTGTTCAATTGTGAGATTTATTCGAGGACACTGTTTGGGCCCTTTGTTGGACGAACATGGCTGGAGATGTTGGTACCTGCAAGCTGAACATTCCCAAGTGGTGGAAAGACCCACGGCCGCCCTGCTTCGCTGCTAATGGCAGGAAGAATCTCTTTCCATCCGGAGAGAAAAGCGGTGCCTCAGTCTGCAGATAAACGTCCAGATGATGCAAACAAAATTATCCATTAATAACTGAAGCCACGGGCGACTTCTCACAGTAGCAAATACTGTGGCCACAGGTATTAGTGTTTTTAAAAGGATGGCCATTTACCGGATTTTACATTACATAATTCAATAAACTAGCAGCAAATTATTACGTGCTGTAGATGGGGATATGATCTCTGGATCTGGGCAAAATGCGTCTTAACGTGGCATGAATTAATTACAATGTGTTTAGTTTACTACACCAGAGTGAAATAAACTCTGTGGAGCTAGAGTGGGTATGGATTACCATTCGAAAACAAACACATACCTGTCCAGAAAGCCAGGCTTCAGAACTCTCTTTGTGTCGCTGAAAAACAAATATGAAATAAAATCTTGAATCTCACAATAATAGAAATATTTTTTGAACGGAAATATGCTGCGTCATCGGTTATTAAAACAAACATAAGGGTACTACTGTATAATGTGGGCTATCAGTTCCTGTTATTGTATTCAGCTTCTAGGTTTCCCATGCCAAAGAGACGTATGCCTTGTTTCCATGGCCAGCGGGAACTCAGCCAGGCCCCCAACAGCTTAGGTCCAGAAATAAGAAGTCCCTGGTAGAGAGGTTCCCATTTAATCCCAGATCTGGTCCTCTGAGCCCCTTCCCAAACTGACCAGAAATAAGAAGTCCCTGGTAGAGAGGTTCCCATTTAATCCCAGATCTGGTCCTCTGAGCCCCTTCCCAAACTGACCAGAAATAAGAAGTCCCTGGTAGAGAGGTTCCCATTTAATCCCAGATCTGGTCCTCTGAGCCCCTTCCCAAACTGACCAGAAATAAGAAGTCCCTGGTAGAGAGGTTCCCATTTAATCCCAGATCTGGTCCTCTGAGCCCCTTCCCAAACTGACCAGAAATAAGAAGTCCCTGGTAGAGAGGTTCCCATTTAATCCCAGATCTGGTCCTCTGAGCCCCTTCCCAAACTGACCAGAAATAAGAAGTCCCTGGTAGAGAGGTTCTCATTTAATCCCAGATCTGGTCCTCTGAGCCCCTTCCCAAACTGACCAGAAATAAGAAGTCCCTGGTAGAGAGGTTCCCATTTAATCCCAGATCTGGTCCTCTGAGCCCCTTCCCAAACTGACCAGAAATAAGAAGTCCCTGGTAGAGAGGTTCCCATTTAATCCCAGATCTGGTCCTCTGAGCCCCTTCCCAAACTGACCAGAAATAAAAAGTCCCTGGTAGAGAGGTTCCCATTTAATACCAGATCTGGTCCTCTGAGCCCCTTCCCAAACTGACCAGAAATAAGAAGTCCCTGGTAGAGAGGTTCCCATTTAATCCCAGATCTGGTCCTCTGAGCCCCTTCCCAAACTGACCAGAAATAAGAAGTCCCTGGTAGAGAGGTTCCCATTTAATCCCAGATCTGGTCCTCTGAGCCCCTTCCCAAACTGACCAGAAATAAGAAGTCCCTGGTAGAGAGGTTCCCATTTAATCCCAGATCTGGTCCTCTGAGCCCCTTCCCAAACTGACCAGAAATAAGAAGTCCCTGGTAGAGAGGTTCCCATTTAATCCCAGATCTGGTCCTCTGAGCCCCTTCCCAAACTGACCAGAAATAAGAAGTCCCTGGTAGAGAGGTTCCCATTTAATCCCAGATCTGGTCCTCTGAGCCCCTTCCCAAACTGACCAGAAATAAGAAGTCCCTGGTAGAGAGGTTTCCCATTTAATCCCAGATCTGGTCCTCTGAGCCCCTTCCCAAACTGACCAGAAATAAGAAGTCCCTGGTAGAGAGGTTTCCCATTTAATCCCAGATCTGGTCCTCTGAGCCCCTTCCCAAACTGACCAGAAATAAGAAGTCCCTGGTAGAGAGGTTCCCATTTAATCCCAGATCTGGTCCTCTGAGCCCCTTCCCAAACTGACCAGAAATAAGAAGTCCTTGGTAGAGAGGTTCCCATTTAATCCCAGATCTGGTCCTCTGAGCCCCTTCCCAAACTGACCACATGCTCAGAACTTGGCAGGAACCAATCAAAATGCCTCGGGGGGGGGGGGGGGGGGAGTCAATGCTCAAACAAGACGCTTGTGGGATGTTCAACTTCTTTCCAATGTCAGTGATAAAAAAACAAATATATGGCCGAAAAGTAAGAAATATATATTTGAACTAAAAATATGTTAACTTTGACCCAAACCTTCATTAAACTTTATTTTAAATGTTTGGGAGAAAGCACACTGCAACTCTAATCCCCCATCAATGCAATGTATATGTGGGAGGGAGTGAGGTGGACAGAGAAGTGGGGGGGGGGGCATGGGGGGTATGAGCACACAGAGCCCTATGTTTCATGGGCACAAGGACCGATATACTGGTTCCCCTCCTGAGACAGTCCTGTGCCATTAGCTGGGTCTGAAGAGCCGGGTTCCCAGGCTGGTTCCCAGGCTCTCACCTGATTTCTAAATGTCAATGATTTAATGGGATGGCTGATTCATTCACAAAAACTTGCAGCCGCAATAAACATTAAGGAAAAGAGCACATTATGGGTCTTTGCCGTACAAATTGGCCTGTTTTCCATAAAGGCCAAGCAGTGTCAAGCAAGTCACACCTCTGAGCACACTCCAGACGAGGCATTGCAGAAGGTGAGGATGGAGAAGTTCTGAGCCCGGCTGAGCCAATTAACGGCCAGCATGCTGTTCATTACCCAGGCCACCATGGGGATGTAAAATTCCCTGTCGAAAGAGGAACGTGAGTTGACCGGACAGGAACATGTCAATGACAAAGCCAAACAATTGTAAATTATAATTACACGTTATAAAATGCAAAAAAATGGCTGTAACATGTGGCATAAATATAAGGTGTTACCATGTTCAAACACTAAATAGAAACCAATTACAAGGCGTCACAATTGCGCAGTGACACAAGTTTGGGAGAAAAAAGCACACTACATATCACTTTGATAATTTATGTATTGTCCTTGAAACTGATTGGTCTGGGGTTGTCTCACCAGTGCTTGATAATGGCCACCTTAAAAGAAGCAGCACAAGAAAATTTCAATCGCCCAATGTGTTAATAGCTCGCGTTCAGCATTTATGACTAGAATTCCACATTATTCGTTGTTCATCTGTGGTGTCCATTCCACAAGATTATTCGTTGTTCATCTGTGGTGTCCACTACACAAGACACCAACTTAACATGGACAGAAAATTAATGAATTGGGAAAATGCCTCCATTTTAAAGAACCAGATTATATAATCCAGAACTGCATAATGTGTCAGCCTCACAGTAAAAACCTGTGGAAGACTACAATGTGACCTGTGTTCACTTGGGAATGCGAACTCCGGTGGGTGTGAGGTGGAAAGTGTGGAATGCCGAAGGGTGCAGCATCTGTGATCTCACCTTTGTTTGAGCGTCTCAGGAGGAAAGAGCTCTGTTGTGGCAGGGCTGGGTGAGTTCAGATCGGCCAAAAATAGTCTCACTCTTGGGTTGTTCTGCCCTGCCTAAGTGTGCACACCATTGACGGAATGTGTGTTACGTACTGAACGTTCATGAATAAAAGTGTTTGTTTAATCATATGAGCGACGCGTAACTTTACAAGCCATTTCTGGTGTGTATATACAAAACCCCTCCTGAAACCAATTGGATTGTTTTGGGAAAGCGCACTCGTTAAGGCCATGATGGCGGACAGCGGAGTGGCATTTATAGCTTCCCCAGTTCCAATGTTCACACACACCACTAGATCCTCATTTGAGTCTGAGCAGACCTTTAGAGCGTGGTGATGGCGGCAGTCCAGGCCAGATCCACATTACCACTGATGCTACCGCAGCCAGAAAAATCACCAGGTTACCAGGATTGTAGTGCAGTGCCATTAACACTACGCCACTGCACACATATGTGTTTTTGTGTTTATATATACACTGTTGTCAAAATTCAGTAAGCTCGATTGATATTTTTCATCTGTGCACATACCCACTCCAAACAATACAAATATTCGGGATCGGTTTTTTGAGACATTGATTCTATATCAAAATACTGTCAGGACATCTTCTTTGGTTCTTTCGGTAAGGTCACGTAGAAAGAGAATAAAATAATAAAATAAAACAAGACAATAAAATTCTCACGACGTTTCGGCCACAACACAAGTAGCCTTCTTCAGGTGAAAGAACAGAACTGTCGGGACGACAGAGCTTCAATTAACGCTGTTAAGATTCGCAGCGTCTTTTAAGCTCGGTGAGAGGCGTGGCGAGCCTTGAAAAAGGAGTTCACATATCAAAGCAGGAGAATTTAGCATTGAAAAAACTGAGGGATTAGCTTGTGACAGAAATAGCTGTGTTAAAGTCAAAGTTTACATATCCACAGAGGCATTTAGTATATGGACGCTAAAGGCCTCCAATTACCAACTATTATAAAGTAAACCATAGCGTATTTTAAGCTCGGTGAGAAGCGTGGAGAGCCTTGACAAAGGAGTTTACATATCAGAGCAGGAGAATTTAGCATTGAAATAGCCGAGGGATTAGCTTGTGACAGAAATAGCTGTGTTAAAGTCAAAGTTTACATATCAACAGAGGCATTTAGTATATGGACGCTAAAGGCCTCCAACTAACCAACTATCATAAAGTAAACCGATGTTTATTATTTCCCCATACTCAGTTTCTGGCCTACATAAAAAAAGTGTGTGCACTGTTATTATTACATATTCATTCACCATTTGCAATATTTTAATTAAAATACTAAGTGTAAGCCATTTCCTTACAAAGAGCGTAGGTGTCACCCTTGATTGACTGGTCCATTAGGCCAACAAAAGACTTTGCTGATAGAGCTCTTTATCTTGCACGGTGACCATGGGAATGCAGTTTTAATAATCGTATATAGCTACAGCTCATACTAACACCGGAATGCCAGATAATATGCAGAGAACATTCACTGGCGTTCGTGTGCCTTTCCTCCAGTCCAATATATTCGAGGAAAGGCAACGTGGCTAAGCAATGAATTGATTGAATGTACTAATGAAAACATGTTAAACATATTACATGTTAAATATTCTTTAATTGAAAAAGCTACTCAGCTTCAGAGTGCAGGTTGGATTACTAAATTTGGCAGGTCCCCGATGTATGCTGGTGGGGAGACAGAATGATTCACTGTGAATACCTCTCTGATTGCTGGCAGCAGTGTAAATGTACAATATTTCCTCTCTGCTATTTGAACACATTATCCCTTACTTGCAGTCTGTGTGCACGAGTCAATTCGCGTGCATTTATTTGAGTGCATACGTGCATTAGCTTTGTGTAGGTTGTACATGCTTCATACACACACGCAGGTTAGGCAGGTGCACTGCATGTTTGTGCTTATATGCATCCCGTTTGCCAGGGTACATCACATCGATGCTGAGCCCCTTTTTCCCAGGGGCTGCTTGATTAATGCGTACGAGGCCCCGTTTGCACTAAACCCTGACACGAAACACGCACATAGGTTGGTGTGCACAGATGCACACACTGATACACACACACACACATACAGTGCGCACACCCTGACACGCACAGATTCATTGGTTAACAAAAAAGACAAATATCCCCCATATAGCTTTTACAGATTGTTGGGGCAACTGTTATTTGCGAGCACCTATGAAGGTCGACACAGCACACGAAGGGCTGGGTGGGTCAGCACCATGCCTCCCCAGTGGTCATGTTTGCACACTGCACCAGGTGCTCATTTAAGGCTGAGTCGATCTAGGGAACACCTAGGACAAGTTCAGATATACAGCACTGATGTCTGCTGTGAGCGAGAATCGGATTCGGGTTGCCGAGTTCACACACACATAAAACAACCACACATAGACAGGCAAACACCTCATACGTTCACACGTAGATATGCACACAATGACATGCACATTCCAACCTATGCCTGTGTGTGTCAGTGTGTGCGTGTGCAAGCCGAGATATCATAGGTTTTTGTACAAACGCAGACTCTTGGATACGTATCCCACAGTGTACCTCCATGCCCCCCAACATGACCAGGATATCATTGACATGCAGGGCATGAGTTCAGCCTTGCCGTTCGATGAAACAGAGTACCCGACCAGTAAAACGGCTTTCCGCTTGTACTCTGATTCCCACTCGAGCAAGACAATCGCTCCATTACAGGCACAGTATTATGGCTGTGAGAGAAAACAGAGCTACTACATTCTAATAGCAGATGCTGGGTTACATGGGAAATTATTTTCCAGATGGTACTCACCAGCTAGGTTCCGCTTTCCGTCATTACAAGTTAACGTTATATTTACATTCGCCAATGTTTAGCGATTCCTCAAAGGCTCATGGATTTGGTCATTAGTTATTTTGGAATTGATAACTCTTCTCCAATTATGCCCAGAGAATAAAAAGGTCATCTAGAAAGTTCCATGCCCATCAATACAGATAAATTAAAACTGTAAAAAGAAATAGGTTTTCCATTTCTTGTTCAAAATACAAAAAAACAGACTCATAGACAGTAACAAATATTTTAATTGGCAAAAGACTGTGATCATTTTTACAGCACTTTAATTAATCTAGCCCCTCATAAGCATTACCAGCTCACGCAAGGAATGGGAAAGAGACCACGCCTGTATTCTGAAGGTGACGTGCGCGGACATTAAGAATCTGGACTTGTCAGTACGGTTCTGCATCAGCGGTCTGCCAAATGGGAGAGGCGCTGTGAGAAATTTAAGTGCTAGGGGCGATTGGATTTGCGTAGCAATGCACTCACTGTGCAGTCCCCTCGAGGGATGGCATCCATACCACGTGGAGTGTGAGGCAAATAAATGGTGGGAAATCTTGCCCTATAATTGCCTAATGTACTGTGAACGCACTAGTATTAACACCATAATCTCTGAAATAGAATAATTAAATGGTCTAGTTTTCTTATAACATTTTAGTTTTAGTATATAGCCTCAAGCTGTTTGAATGTGACAATTATTACTAGATTTCCCCCAGTGTAATGTTGACTGAACTTGATGATCCTTTCATTTGAATGCTGTCTCAGTGCATCGCTGAACTTTTTAAATTAATTAAAGTATTTGGCATTTATGTGGCACAGAGAGCTTCCAATTAATAATGTATACATTTCTAAAACCTACACGTGAAATGTTAATATTCTTGGTTCTTTCGGTAAATGTCACGTGACTTTACCGAAAGAACCAAGAATATGAATCCCTGCAGTCACGAAAGCTTTAAATCAAAAGTGAAATTGTCAATTCAGTAATAGTGTAATGAGCGACTTCCGTGACACGTCATGTAGAGGGTACTTCTTCTTTTATTTCTCACACGGGCACAACACAGGCCAACCTTTATTCTTCTCACTCTGAGTACACCGCTTAGATATGAACGTCTCTACTGGCTACACACGCGGCCGATCACTCGGCGTGGTCCCACCGCCCTCACTCGGCTACGCCGCTGCCTGGCGGCGTGACAAGGATGGCGATGGAAACCCCGCAGGAGATCTTCCACGTGGCCGGACGACGGAGAGAGATGACAGTGAGCAGCGACGCAGTCCGGACCCAAGAATCCACCCACGAACCACGAGCCCTGGTCCGCCCCCGTTTATATCTCTCCAGGCATGGCTAGGCCCCGCCTCCGGCCACGCCCTATCGTGGAACCTTCGAGCAGGTTCCCGGAGCATCTCGGCCAACCCCGCCTATTACCTTTGCCCCAGATACCTCTCCCTTTCTGATTGGATGTTGTCTTAACCGTGCTCGTACCCGTGCTTCCTTTTCCCAGCCAGCAGGTGTCATCATGTCATTACAATAGCATTCCGGGTACTATTAGCCTTCACTTTACTCAATGGTTGTGCATCTTGGAAAAAAATCAACTTCAGTGTGACATTTTCTTGAATGTGAATTCAGATAGATTATAGGTGCTCACTACATCTTGAATCACATTAAAGTATTGCACTTAATTGGGGCCATCAGACATGTATTATCAGCAAATTAAGGCAAACAGCCATGGTTTGTTGTGGATGCCAACATCTGGTAACTCGCAAGAGACTCACCTTGGGGTAAGGGTATTTCCTGCTGGTGGGGTAAACAGCCCCGGTGTATTGTGGGATTTCAGCGAGCGGGACATTTGAGTCGTTTATAGAAGCGAAGGCAAGACGGCTTCCATCCGGAGAGCACCAGTGAGCCACGGACGAGTGTAGCACTTCCTCTGGACAAACACAAACAGCACCCATGCGGCTCTCTGATCTGCGTTAGTGTTAGTGCGTGTTGTTCGGCATGGTGTCTAACTTTTTTTCCCACGTGCTCAAAACGTCGGACATCATGCCGTAGCACACTCGGTACAAACCCCCCAAAAAACTCAGGAGAGCCATAAAGTACAACTGCGAGAACAAACGCAGTATCTATCCCCCCATGTGGCCTTACGGACCGTAGGAGCAAGCGCTGTTGGTGTGGCCTGCACCATGCCTGGCTGAATTGGTCTCACAGGGCTGATGCAAAAATACGCACACATGTGCACCACAGAGTAAACATTATTTTGTAAAAGCACCGTAATACATTTATAAATTTGTTTTCCTTTATCCAAAAGAGCCTCACCGAGTCTGACTTATGTACTGTATACAAACGGCCCTCATACACACTTTTGCCCTTCTTAGACATTATTGTCGCCTGTTTTGGGGGCTTATACTTGAATTACCTCGACCGTGCAGGTGTGCAAGTGCTATAATGTTTGTCTGCCTACTCTTGAAGCCAAACCCCTCTTTTGTTTCCCATCATTTAGGATACCTCGATGCAAAGGTACGTGGCAGCAGGGATCGGAGGATGATTGGCAAATTTTGCAGTGAGAGAGAAACAAAAAAGAAGAGAGCAAACAGTTGGATTCTTCGGCAGCAGGAACGTGAAGACGATGAACACCTTGTTTTTCTTTCAAAAAGAAGGGACATTACAAACGAATGTAGAGATTTTAGGCACCCCGAGTCATCGGAAACGTATGTACAGTACCACAGCGTGATGTTTTTATTTTGCGGACAGTCTCACTTCAATGCGTACCACACTAAACATCCAAACCTGTCACCACATAAATCTACTTGATGTTCGTGGGTAAGAACACGAATGAATGATACATTTGGGGATCTTGTCGTACATTTTTTTTAACCAATGCAGTACAATTCCCTTCTTTGTTATTCGCTGAGCAACCAAGCTTCGCTGCCGTGTACACTTTCTACCTGCGCCATAATAATGAGGTGCTGAGCAAAAGATAATGGCCTTCATCGTCAGATACTTGCTCAGCGCAATCCTTTTCCACAGATTTGCTGAGGCAGGTATCAGACATCTCTGAAATGCAATGCTGAACAAACGCTGACAAGAAAGGCTTTATTTCGAATGTTTTATAAAGGAAATCTGGTACAGTGTGATGCTTCATGATCAACTTTCTGTCTGTATTGAGAACTCACTCACGTCATTAACAAATAAAGCACATTTGTATTGCTGAAATTACAGGTATTGGCGAGCAATGACGTGCGTGCTTGTCCATAACTTTACCAGATCGTGTGGATTACATGTGAGTGAAGTCTCAGTCAATTCATTTCAATGGGACTTGCTCAAATGATGGCAAAGTCACCTTTAAAAAATGAACACCTTTCTATACTTCTTCTTTACACACCAATTCATCCAGGAAATAGGTATCTTACACGAAACATCAAGTTATAAATACAATTCATGCATGTATATATATAGCACACACTCAACAACCGTGTTTCGCATCACCTTATGTGGGAAAACGATACCTTGGGATCCTGATGAATGAGTAACTCAAACATACCACTTTTGCCTGCCCTGTACAACCATTCAGCCTTCACTCGGCTGACAGATTGCACTGTCCGTGTGCAGGGCTGGAGGAGAGGGGACTGGAGAAGGATACCAGCTGTAACTTATACCCTATTATAAAAGGCCAATAAAACAACAAGCGTCAGGGTCGGGATCGAGCCCATGATCTTTATACCAGGAGACAGTTAACATCTCGCCACCATAGTGACACTGCAATGAGACTCGCGTTATAATGTAAGACAAGATAGAGGGACCAAGATGTAACCACGCATCATACCTCCGATTAGTGGAGGTGCGATTTGTCGGAGGTGCGATCAGCCAACCGCGCTTATCGCACCTCCGATTAGCGTACGGTGCAAAAGAAGTTCAACATACATATGGTGATGTCATACCTTCATACAGCCAGTCGGAAATCCCATTGTAGACCGAGCCCACCTTCCCAGTGGAGGTGATCTGGATGGGTGCTGACTGCAAGTCCGGTTTTAAATAAAGGTCGTTGTTATAGACGTATACCTGCCAACAGAAACAGAGGGGAAAAAAAGGTCTATCAGCTTTGACCAGTGGTAATGCTATTCTAATGATGTTGACACAATGACCCATGTTATAATGATAAACTCAACGCATTTGTCAAAGAAACTGTAGCCTTCAAAGGAAAAACATAGACCAGGTAACATCTTGGGCATTGTCCGTTACTAGGGCTGTAGTAATCGGAGCAGGTCAGATTCAGAATTTGCAGTATCCTCGATCCATCCGATCTATCTGCTGGTTTGGGAGTTAAGTGTATAACATGGCTACAAAAGCAAATCAGATTGCATCAAAACAGTTACATTGGATTTCTGATCGGTTGGTTATCAATTAAATTTGTGGTTATGTTTTCACATGCAGTTAAACACATTGTGCAGCTGTAAGTTATTTAAAACATATTTTTTAATCACACTGCACGTTCAGAGCAAATGTCTTTCGCAAACCAATATTACGATTCTAAGTAGATTTTTGAGTCAGATTGCATAAGTATAATGCGTGTTGTCCACCCTCCACAACATTGAACAATTGTGAGGTTTATCTCCAACGTACCGGCGTGCCGACGCACTAGTACATTGTTCTGTTTGTTCACGTGGCAACTTGGCTGTGTCAGGTGGATGAGGGTTTAACGACACGCATTTTACTTACGAGATCTGACCCAAAAATCAACTATGAATGCATACTGTACATTAAAATTATAATGAAATTGTGAAAAAAATATTAACAAGTAAAAAACTGTGATTATTGCAATAACATTCTGAAGCTCAGCTAATTGTCATGAAATGTTTCAAATTAACGAAAACATATTTTAATTAAAAAATTACACCTCTGATAAGTCATATGTTCTTGGATATACTGAATGAAAATACATTAATCAGAATAATTGTTTCGTAACTTTTTTTGTTATTACTCCAAGTATGAGTTCCTGTTACTTTTCTGTGGCAAACTTTTACAATGACAAGCACACCCATACAGCACAGCTGTGGAAAATATGGATCCAAAGTGTGCAGAGTTTGAGATCTGAGTACAAGAATTGAGAACATGGTGATGATAGCAGTATTAGTGAGAAGATAAGTGTGCAGAGAAGGTTGTTGGTATTAAATTGAGTATGACATTGGTGTTCGTATAAATGTTGCAATGAGTCATCAGTCTGTATGGAAAAAAATCCATTAAGGTGAAAGGGGAAGAGTTACTGAAAGAACACAGAAGCAAACATAAGCTACGAGCGGTAAAATTCGAGAGCTTTTACCAAGAGTAACCGAGGCCTACAGCAGTAAAGATTGAGTGCAACGTCAGGTATAAAATACTGTTGACTGGTTCAAACTTTACTCCCAAATAAAAAAAGAATCATCATGAAACAAATAAACACTTTTACAACAAAAATATCCTACATGTACGTCCGATATTTTTTTCTGCTAAAGTCTCGTGAAATGTCTTGATATTAAATATAAGGCTCTCTAAAATGTGTGGCATATATGCATACATACACATTTAAAATGACATAATGCACGCGTGTATTTTAAGTTATTTTTCGATTTAAAGCTTTCGTGACTGCAAGGATGCATCTTCTTTGGTTCTTTCGGTAAAGTCACGTAGAATGAGAATAAAATAATAAATTGATAAAATAAAATAACACAATAAAATTCTCACGACGTTTCGGCCACAACACAAGCGGCCTTCATCAGGTGAAGGGACGAGACTGTCTGGAGGACAGCGCTGGAGCGAACAAAGCCACGCTCAGATCGCGACCTTTAGGCTGTGTGAGAAGAAACTAAGCGTCTTGACAAAGGAATTAGCATAGAATATAGCATTGAAATAGCTGAGTGATTAGCTTGTGACTGGTCACAGAAATGGCTATGTTAAAGTTAAAGCATACACATCCACAGAGGCACCCCTTGACAAAGGAATTAGAATAGAATTTAGCATTGAAATAGCTGAGTGATTAGCTTGTGACTGGTCACAGAAATAGCTATGTTAAAGTCAGAGCATACACATTCACAGAGGCACCTAGTACAAATCAAACAGGAGAATTTAGAATTGAAATAACTAGGAGAATTTAGCATTGAAATAACTGAGTGATTAGCTTGTGACTGGTCACAGAAATGGCTATGTTGAAGTCAAAGCCTACACATCTGAGCTATTCACAGTAACTGGGTATACACTACACTATATAATGAATACTATATAGTGAACCAATAAAAAACTAAAATATAAATTACCTCAATGTTATCAATACACTCTATATATTCTCCAATCAGCTAAGCTACCAACAATAAGTCGTTATATATCACAATGCTATATGGCATGAAGCAAAAATTGCATGCAATTATACATACGCACACATTTATAAATACCTCTTAATGCAAGCCAAATGGAATGTCATTTGAAAGCCATTGTATGTGTAATGTAATAACACGGGCTGCTGACAGGGAAGTGGTACTGGCAGCAGGGGGCAGTACACACGTTAGCAAAAGGGGATCGAAGGGGAGGCCCAGGAAGGGGTCGATCTGGAAGCCCGATAACTTGCTAGTAGGTTCTAGAAAAGGCGGCGTGGCAAGGGAGGGGCCAGGCCACGCCAGGAGGATAAGAGGGGGTCTGGAACGGGGGCTCGGGGCTGTTGCTGGAAGTGGATCCCCTCGTTGTGTCACTGTTCGTCGCCGCCGTCTCGACCATCTTAGACGCCGCTTGCTAGACAGGCTGCCAACTGTTCTAGTCAGATAGGACCGTCGAAAGAGGCGGATGTGTGACTAGCGTGTAAGCACGTGGGGCGCTTGTAGTTCCCCGACGTGTAGAATGAAGAAGGTGCCTTGGGAACCCTGTCTCCGACTGAGTCACTACATATGTGAAGTGAATGAAAAGATAGTGAACTATTATGAAAGAGAGCGAGCATTAGTTTAACACGACAATGATCATTAATTCAATAATAAGCCATACCTGAGATTAATATGTATGTTCTTATATGTGCTTTATTTATAACCCAGTGCGAGCCCCTTGGGAACAAATTACATTTTCATGATAGAGTGTAAAACAATCAGAGCACTGTTAATAGAGAGTGTGAATCCAACTAATCGGATATTTATCCTTTCTAAAACCTGAAGACTGTCTTCAAAATTCTCAGTGAAAATCCTGTTGCATGTCCCACAAAGCTAACATGTTTAATGTCAGAGTTTAGTTTAATCTACAGCTAAACGTTTCGCAACACAACACATGCCAAGAAAAGAGGAAAAGGAACCTGCACACTGGAAACGTAACAAAAAACCGAGGGGCAGCAGCCCCTCCTCCACAAACACTGCGTCGCCAGACCGCCTTTCGCTCTATTTGATTTTCAGATTTTGTGATAACAGCGTCAAAAGATTGGCCCTGGTGGATAACAGCTGCTTAGTGTCCCGCAAATGCATGAACAACAACGACAACAAAAACACTTCAATACTTTAATTTGATTAAGCCAGTCGAACACAAACTGTTAAACATCAGTTTTATGGCAGTGCCACCACTCTTACTCTTTGTAAATGGTGCATAAGCAGCACCATTATGAAGACAGCATAATGACAAGATGTCCATGTTTGGTGTGTGGGTTTTTGCGAATTTCCCTTTGGCCATAAAAGCATCTTATTCTAAGTGGGGCTGTGGCTCTGTGCTACAGTTCAGTTTTTAAAAGTGATCAGGACATGAGCTGATACGGCCATGCATGCAATAACTCAACTTTGTTTCTTAATATATTAAAATGTCAAAAATTACCATTATTTGCAGAGAGCATGTTATGTTTTACTCACGGGATCATAAGTTCTACTGTTTGACAAGAAAAACTAAATATATCTACCTACATACAGTGAGGGAAAAAAGTATTTGATCCCCTGCTGATTTTGTACGTTTGCCCACTGACAAATAAATGATCAGTCTATAATTTTAATGGTAGGTTTATTTGAACAGTGAGAGACAGAATAACAACAACAAAATGCAGAAAAACGCATGTCAAAAATGTTTTAAATTGATTTGCATTTTAATGAGGGAAATAAGTATTTGACCCCTCTGCAAACATGACTTAGTACTTGGTGGCAAAACCCTTGTTGGGAATCACAGAGGTCAGACGTTTCTTGTAGTTGGCCACCAGGTTTGCACACATCTCAGGAGGGATTTTGTCCCACTCCTCTTTGCAGATCTTCTCCAAGTCATTAAGGTTTCGAGGCTGACGTTTGGCAACTCGAACCTTCAGCTCCCTCCAAAGATTTTCTATGGGATTAAGGTCTGGAGACTGGCTAAGCCACTCCAGGACTTTAATGTGCTTCTTCTTGAACCACTCCTTTGTTGCCTTGGCCGTGTGTTTTGGGTCATTGCCATGCTGGAATACCCATCCACGACCCATTTTCAATGCCCTGGCTGAGGGAAGGAGGTTCTCACCCAAGATTTGACGGTACATGGCCCCGTCCATCGTCCCTTTGTGGTGAAGTTGTCCTGTCCTCTTAGCAGAAAAACACCCCCAAAGCATAATGTTTCCATCTCCATGTTTGACGGTGGGGATGGTGTTATTGGGGTCATAGGCAGCATTCCTCCTCCTCCAAACACGGCGAGTTGAGTTGATGCCAAAAAGCTCCATTTTGGTCTCATCTGACCACAACACTTTCACCCAGTTGTCCTCTGAATCATTCAGATGTTCATTGGCAAACAACATACGGGCATGTATATGTGCTTTCTTCAGCAGGGAGACCTTGCGGGCACTGCAGGATTTCAGTCCTTCATGGCGTAGTGTGTTACCAATTGTTTTCTTGGTGACTATGATCCCAGCTGCCTTGACATCATTGACAATATCCTCCCGTGTAGTTCTGGGCTGATTCCTCACCGTTCTCATGATCATTGCAACTTCACGAGGTGAGATCTTGCATGGAGCCCCAGGCCGAGGGAGATTGACAGTCCTTTTGTATTGCTTCCATTTGCGAATAATCGCACCAACTGTTATCACCTTCTCACCAAGCTGCTTGGCAATGGTCTTGTAGCCCATTCCAGCCTTGTGTAGGTCTACAATCTTGTCCCTGACATACTTGGAGAGCTCTTTGGTCTTGACCATGGTGGAGAGTTTGTAATCTGATTGATTGATTGCTTCTGTGGACAGGTGTCTTTTATACAGGTAACAAGCTGAGATTAGGAGCACTCCCTTTAAGAGTGTGCTCCTAATCTCAGCTCGTTTCCTGTTTAAAAGACACCTGGGAGCCAGAAATATTTTTGATTGAGAGGGGGTCAAATACTTATTTCCCTCACTAAAATGCAAATCAATTCATAACATTTGACATGCGTTTTTCTGGATTTTGTTGTTGTTGTTCTGTCTCTCACTGTTCAAATAACCTACCATTAAAATTATAGACTGATCATTTCTTTGTCAGTGGGCAAACGTACAAAATCAGCAGGGGATCAAATACTTTTTTCCCTCACTGTAGGTAGAGGTAAGGGTTTTTGCCTACTCTTCCAAGCATCTTGGAAGAGGTGTGAACACGCATACTTTACCCCACCATAGAAGACATGCCAATCGATAAACTATCATGTAAACACTTATACTGCTGGGTGGACAGAGGCGGGGGGGGTGTTAAGAAAGTTGTTCAGCATTTCAACTCCCGGTGTCACAAGACCAAATCGACAACCTCTAGATTGCAAGTCCAGTGTGCTAAGCATTCCTCCACGACAGCACGACTATCCCTACATATGTGACAACATTAGAGATCAAGGGCTCCAATGCCTGCAACCCATTGACAACCCATACCGCAGATAATTTCTCACATGTCATTGAGAAATTATATTGTAAGAGAGAAATTATGATCAGGACATTCATTCTTTGCAGTTGAGACAAAGATTACATATACGATCATAATTTGCAATAAAGTATGCAAATAAATAGCCTTTCTGGAATTGTAGTGGACACTATACATTCAAAAAGAGTATTTATATCCCTTAATTAAAGGGGGCCAGTGGCACTAATTAGGTTTCAATGTGCATGGAGCTTGGATGGGCCTTATAAATCTGGGCACATGCACTGGGTTGTGCAGGGAGTTATTCCAAAATACATGGATTTTTTTGCAAAACTATAATGATGTGAGTTAATGTCTCTGGGAAGTGAGCTAATGGTGTTGTAATTAGCATATCCGCCCTTGTTACCTTGTTGGATTCTGTACTAATGATTAATAGGCACCCATAAAATTAACTGAAAACCTTAAAGTGATGAAAGGAAATGTTTTTTATCCGAGGCATAATTTAGTGAATACGATTTATTTATTAATTTATGAATGTTGAAATATAGTTCATCTTCAATGTTGGAGGGGAATGTTATCAACTTCAACATTTAATATTTTAAAAAGCCTTATATAGAGCATTGCATAGGGAGGTCAGAACCAAATGAGAGACAGTATCTCTTTGTAAGGAAAAAATAGGACAATAGAGTATTTTATGTAAATTGTATGTCAATTCTTGACAGTTGAAGCTTTTTATGTCCATTTGATAATTATTGAAATGTGTATTTCATAGAAGTGTATTTACAAATGGTATTTGCTTTCAGAATAGCTCATACTTTACAGCGCACATATCCAGTTGATTTCCCTGCTCAGTTCACGCTGTGTTCCATGCCATGATAACCTATTTAATCACCACACACACATTACGTGAATGAGTGAACTTTTATATTGCACAATAGGATAATAGTTTGTGAACCAAAAGTTGGCATACCTATTTTTCTTTCTTTGTGTACTGCACAATTTATTGAATCTGCTGGTTCCGTTTAGAATGTGTTATTTATTCCTAATTTTATTCCATCTGTGATACTGGTGTCATATCATGAGATGAAGTAATAATTTGCAGTGTGGTATAAAATGGGACGACGGACTCTGCGGAAGGCGATATCACATAACTACTTGTGAGAACTCTTCATTATATCCAAGCTGCACTTCCCAACATGCTCTTCACAGAGAAAAATTCACCGCAAAGCAATATAAATTATATTTTTTCATTTCAAACCAGGATTTGTTTTCTAAATTGAATGAAAATTTCGTGCAGTCATTGCTAACCGCCTGACCATATTCGTACAAAGGATCACAGCAGTAATGGGTTAAGGCACTGATCTACTATATATATGATTAGCTTGATTTTGCCTGCTCTTTATTGTGTACGTTCAGGTGATTTCAACGTTTATGCGGAAGAGAATTGTAAACGTCAATCCATGAAAAAATACAAATCACTCGTGCTCTTTGTGAGCACTTGGTGTACAACATAAAAGGTCACTCATACCGGCAGGAGACTAGTGCATCAGAGTGCATATATCTGAATACAAAGTCCCGTAAAACCACTTCAACAAATCTGCATGTAATAATAGGGGTTTTCCCCTTTTTTCTGGCAACAAAACTGAAACCTTTTTACAAGGATTCATGTCTGCATTAACCACAATACTTGCAGTCAAAATGCAAACAAAAAACACACTGATAATATATGCATTGTCCTTGAAACTGATTGGTCCACACCGATATTCGCCTGTCTAAGTAAGGCATGCAGAGGGAGAACATTACCAGGTAATGTTGTCCTACTGTTTCTCACTCACAGCCAAATTAGGGACAGACATGAAGCAAGACCCTTTCCAGGCAAGACTAATGGGTCCATCAGTTATGAGCAGGCGACAAATGTCCCATCAAGCCTTTTACACATATATCATGCATCAACATACATACATTATAGAAGTAAATACACACCGTGAGCACCAGACGTGCCAGTTGTGCCTCGCTCAGCAGTCGCCATCACAGACTGCAATTTCGTGGGCCAAAGGCTGTGCCTCTACACAGCAGTGTTTCCCAGTTGTGGCCCTAAATTACATTTCAGTATCCTGCTGTGGCGGTGAGCTATTTCAGATTGCATGACCTTTGAAGTGATGCCTAACCTCTATAAGTAAATGGACTGTACACTCAGTGTACACTTATGCATGCCATTGACCTAACACACTTAAATACACAATGTGAACTTTGAATATGTAAGATATCTTTTGTGAATAAACTCAATGGGTCAGACATGAAGAGATTAAAAAAATGGCTGTATTTGAAATGGATCTTTCACTGTGGAATGATGACCCAGTCCCGGTCTCCCCTACTGTATTTAGTATTTTATTAATTTCTTAGCAAATGCTGTTTTTATTTTTCATATTCACAGGAATTTACTTTGCGCAATTTTAAAAGGATTTCCGTTGCAAAGAGCTAGATCGTCCAAATGTTTTCGATATGTTGCTTGGTAAAGCATAATCTCTCACGACTGGAACTTTTGCTGACACATAATACAGTGAATGCTTTTAACGTTAATATGTTCTAAATGTATAATAGGCTGCATGTTGAACGCATATCAACAAATTATCTTTTTTGGTAAAAAATATAATGGTTATGGTTGCCAAAGGTCCTTCTATACACAGGAACATCCTCTTTTTGAGGTACATTTTCAGTAGAATCTGCAAGAACGTTTAAATATTTAAAATCCCACTTTTTGTCAAATAGATACAATTATCCCGTATTCCCATGGCGTGCGCTGTTTTTTTTTTACATCAGAGGTGGTGATCCTGAAAATGCATTTTTCTCAGCTACAACACAATCCTGAACTGTATTGAAATACATAATCCATCTGATCGGCAATGTTTATATAAACAGGTTGCTTAAACTCTACTCATCAACCAATGCATTATTTTGAGTGTCTGAACTGCCGTGACCTCTGTGACTGTACATATGGATGCCCAACGGTGGTTGCATTCGTGCGTATACAAGGCAGACATATGTCAGCACTTGCCATTTGGTGAGCATGACTGCACCAGCCAGCCAACTGCAGCCGTTCTCTCTCCTCCCCAGCAGGAAGCACGTCGTGGAACTCCCTGGGAGAAACCAGCAAGAGAGACAATGTCATTCTGCAGATTGCAGAGGCTTAACCAGTGGCAACAACATGGGGGTATAAAACAACATGGACGCACAAGGGGGAGAAATCGTCAGATGAGAAAATATTAACATTTGGAATACTTAAGGAAAATGCAAAATATTGTGTTTTTTTTTCCATGACACAGGAGAAGGACAGCTTGCGGCACAGAGACTCACACCTGCGATGAAGAACTTCAGAGGAGAAGGTTGGTGGATCATACAAATTTGTGTAACTCCCAAACCTGCTGGCCTGCGAGGCTGTTTCATGGCAGTACAGTAAATACATTGAATTCATCTTGTGTCATCCATCCCCTTATATGCATGGGTTTTCACAGGAGACTGTGGTTTTCTCCCATATGCCAATCTCTCATTAACAGGATTAGCCAAACATTCTGATGCAGGACCCTCATGAAAATGAGTCTTAAGACTCAGTTAGATTTTCATCTGATAAACAAAGGACATTATTATTATTTACTGCAGAGAGTACTGGTAGATTGCAGTATTTATGGGAATGCCAGACTCAGTAAGTGACTTATAATTTAAGTAAACATAATAAGCAAATGCATTGTAAAGCTACAACAAAAAAGAAAATGGTCACGTGGAATTCAGTATTTATTGTCAATTTTAAATGATATACTTAAAAGCTGTCCCAAGGGTAATGAGAATAAACATATTTTGAAAAAAAAATTGCACGTTATCAATTTATTGGGTGGAATTGATATGCACAAGTGTAATGCAGTAATCCAACAGGACACTTTCTAAGGAGCAATCTCAGATAAAAACACCAATACAGTTTGAAAAGGAAAGGGACAATGACATATAGTCGAAATACCTATAATTGTGTCTCAAGGAAATTAGGTTATTGAAAGCAGACTCACAGACATAGAGATTAAGGCCACTATTATGTGAGATAAAGGGCTATTTTAAAATGGGAAAATTATGACCATCATGCCCTTGAACGTGACGAGCTGTTTATTGGTGTTGTATGCCCCGACAGCTGAATAACTTGCCATTTAGCACACCGAACAAGACTGAGAAAAGGTGACAGCTCTCCAGAGACCCTACGTGACTAGAGCCTTTGATAAGATGGCTACAGCAAAAAAAATAAAGGAGAAAATCCAGATGGCCTATTTGCTGGAAGAGCCCATTAATTAATTACATTACTCAAAAAAAGAAAACATCAATAACATTAATTGATTAATATACAAGTCAGTTTGCGATACAAACACGTTGAAAATGTATACAATGTATATACGCCGTACTTGTTTCGCACCGTACGTGTTGCTTTGGAGGTAACAACCTAAACAAACTATATGACAGGGGACCGTATTACTTACTGATGTAAACCAAAACTGTGAAGATGACTCCCATCCACTTCACCAAGTGATCTGTCTCATCATGGCTATTGGCAAAAATGCTGCTGAGCAGTGCTTTTGCTCCTCAGTCCTGTTTATATGATCTAAGCGTAGGCTACGCTGCAATTTACACGGCATGGCTGAAATGTGACCTCCACAAATTTGGAAATTACCTCAAATGGGTGATTACTTTGCCGACTCTGAAAAACTGTTTCCCTACCAAATAAAAACTCGTTCTGATTTGTCAGCTTAAGTCTCAGGATTATCATCTGTGAGCGGTGTCAGAACTTGAGATCCAGCCGCCGGTTGTAACATCACAACAGTCCGGTGGGTCCCAGAGAATGTAAGCTCTGCTGCAGGTGGGTGTAGTTTGTAATCTCCAGGGAAAAAATATAACATGCATAAATAATGGTCTAGTACTCAAGTTCAATACGATACAAAAACACGTTTTTTTTAACGGATTTTGATTAAAAAAATGAAGCATTTCAATTAAACATATGAAGTCTATCATGCTCAAGTTTGGTGTTTGAGTAATATATACAGTAAGTTTCTATTTCCAAAAGTCATTGTGATATAATTATAGTAAAATAAGCACTATGGTATTATATAAGAAAACACATCTTTGAAAATTTACCCTTTACAGTAAACCGTTAATATTCGCGGGGGGATATGTGCCTGGAGAACGGCATGAACAACAGATCCGCGAATATTAATTCCTAAAACTTATAAGGAAAATAGGGATTGGGGGGCACAAACGTACACTGCGTTTAAACATAAACACATACATTGCAATGTACATATTAACGAATATATAGTATTAATATGTGAAATAACTCACCTTCATTAATGATAAACGTATTTAGAAGCGCAAGTATCATTGAATGCATAAAAAAACCCCATTACGCATTACATAATTCCCAACATTTGCAAAGGAAAGCACTCGCATGTAAACAGTGCTGCATACAAAGGCAGACTGAGAGCGACGTTTCGTGGGGAGCAACCATCGAGCACTCACCATCTCCCCACGCCTCACCACTTCTTGTCGGGTAGCATGGTGCCACGGTTACTAATATCTAAAACATAGCCCTGCGAATTTCAAATAGCACTGCAATAACTATGGCGTAGCTACGCAACACCACAATTATAAATCCCACGAATTTTAAGGTGGTTTTCTGTTTATTGTCAATTCATACTTTGCATGTATATGACCAAATCACCAGGCAACGGGATCAATCTCATCAGATCTTGGAAGCTGAACAGGCTTGATCCTGGATAGTGCTTAGATGGGTGACGACCCTGTACAAAAAACATTGGTGGAATGGGCATTGTGGGCAATGTGGGCAGAAGAGGGCAGTGATGCAAAATCCATTATTGTTCTGATGTATGGTCAAAATATCCCTCTTAGCCTTCAAGTGGAACGACAATAATAGGCTGAAAACATACAGTGCTTAGCAAGTTTGCTGTGCACGGTAATAATGCACGAGAGGAATATCCGTGAACAAATGTACCACCCAGTCATCTGCTGCACAAGACTCCACAGCATCTTTTGTAATAATGGCCCATTGTGTTCTTGTGCCATGGCGACGGGTACAACAACAATTGGTCATACAGAGATACAAGACCTCATGCACTGAGGTGACTGCCTACCCCTGAAGCCTGCCTGGACATTGTGATACCTGCTTAAATCATCAGCAAGTGCACGTAGGAAAATGTTGTACGGACTGAGATACAGATCTAAAATAAAAAAAAATATCACATACGTGGCGCAATGCAAGTTGTGGTGATTTTCTCAGTCGGTATAGCTTAACACTCACATGGGAAATGTAACGAAATATTACAAGGGATTTGGAATTCTAGAAGACAGCCACTTTGTACGATGAATCTCGCATTAGTATGATAGGAGTCAGACACCCTTTGTAACACACCGCTAATAAATATGTTGAAAGAAAATAGTACGAAATGCATTTCCATGCCCATAGATTATATGTATGGGTTGATAGAACAATGGTTGGTACAGTATGTCCAACCCTGTCTGGTAATGTGGCAAACCATTCCAAAAGTGTGCCATGTGCCTCGTAGAGGAATGTAAAGATGTTGTGACCTCATTTGCAAGAGAAGGCCATTGTGCCATTGTATAATGGCCAAAATCACCAGCCATAATGAATCCACTGCTGCATAACCGTCACTGCAAGCTGTCACCATCTTTCATGGTCCTGCGATTCCACAATTCGTCTGGCACATGAGCTGATATTATTGCTCATGTTTGCGGTCAAAGTCCTCTTGGGCATACTGCCTGCTTTCGCTGTCACTGTCATACCCTAGCCCACTCATGTCCTGTAATCGATATGTTCCTCTTTCTGTCTCTAAGTATAATTAAAAATACACACTTCTCCATGCTTCTTTACTTAGTTTTCAGATTGTTTAATTGGCTTTGTAAATGTCTGATACATAGCAGGAAATATACACTGATTAAAAACAGCTTTCTTCCTCAGGAAGATTGGTATATGGTAAGTTTAATTCTTAAGTTCAGTTTACATAAGAATTACAACACGCTCTTGATTGCCTCTTAATTCAATCGTCTAGATCCCGGTCCATCTTCAGGAACTGACCTAAGCGTACCTGATGTATTTTACAGCTCCGTCCCCCTGACAGATATTTTCAAATTAACAAATTGTTGTTCATGACTTTTACCTCGCCCATATTTATCTTGAGCTCCACATTAAAGGCTTAATTTTTAAGGCAATTTTGTGAAGTAAATTTCCTTTGGTTGATATAATGAATATTATGTTTGCAAATCTGAGGTTAATATTTTTCCACACTGATATGTATTCCTTTGTTTTACCACTCTAGTTTTGGAAAATAACCTTAATGTTTACACCATTGGAACCTCTACCAATCAATTTCAAGGACAGTGCATACATTATCAGAGTTATGTTTTTTTGTTTGCATTCCGACAACAGGTATTATGGTCAATGCAAACATGACTCCTTGTAAAAAAAAGGTGTCAGTTTTGTTGCCAGATAAAAGGGTAATAAAACAATTATCAACCTCAATGTTGTTGTGAAAAATTTGCCGAATGCACATCTCATTTTCTGACTCCCATTCTAATATGTATGTTGGTACTTTATTCATGCAGTCTCAGTGTAGCCATCCCCACTCTTTTGAAAAGTTTTACTGTTTGTATGTTGAAAAATACAGGCCTAAGTCCAATATCTGAACACTGCCTGAAATATAATATCATGGAGTTACTGCCGATGAATAGATCCAAGTGCAGTTTCCTTCCCGGTTTGCGCCGCATGTTGAGCATTTCTTCTATCAAGCTTTCGCCACGCACTCCTGCGAGGATCTTCACGAGGTGAATGAAAACGTACATGTGATATTATATAACCAGATATTAATGTACTGTACCTTGTCTGCAGGCTGTAGACGGTGAACAGCGCTGTGTAGGAGAATCGGTAAACCTGAAAAATAAACAATGGCATTATTCCTGACCGTGTCGCGTGTTATTTACAAACGAATGAAATACGAATTAGGCACATTCTTTTTTTTGCTTGAAGCGTATACAAGTAATTGGACTCATAACTGATTTAAACAAAGCCACTGGTGCAATGCCATCCCGAAGACTAAGTCACTCGGAATATGCCCAATCCCATCGGATGTTGAAAGATTAGCAAGGTTGGCCCTCGATAACAGTGCCGGATGGGTAACCACCATTCGCAAAAGACAGGCGTCATAGGCTGCGGGGCTGCGTTTTGGGCATAGGGCAGTCGAGAAAACTACATTTTTGCATCGTAATTATAAGCTCCCACGTCTGTGCACTCCATCTTCACCAACCCATAATGACCAGCATGGTAAAGTATGGCAAAATAACCGCCATGTCCTGCATGGCTTGGGGAGGCCTTCTTTCAGCAGTGGAAATGTATACACACATGTATCACAAAACTAAATTCGACAATATTATCACATCATGCATAAGCCAATGTCATATTGGACAAAAAAATGACAATGATAGATTTTTTTCCTGCAATGATTGTCAGGGTAGAGGCTATGATATGCAGTACATGACTGGCAATTTGGGGTGTGTCCTGGAACAACTGACTAACCCACAAAATCGCATTGTCCAGAGAGTAGGCTTTTGTTGAGTGTAGGTGGATTAAGTGGATAAAAAAGTTAACGATTTAGTTCATTGTGTGGCCATCTGTGGAGAGGTTATACAATAAAACTGTTGTAATTGCATTGTAAAGTGTTCCAATGAAGCTAGCATGGGCTATATCAAATTTACGTGTGGTTAACCAAGTTTTTCTAAGACACTGTCCAACCATAAGTAAGTTTGATAGAACCAATATATCGGATGACTTTTCAGATGTCATTCGTGAAATTTACGCGACCTTATACTTCACAGTACTGCTCAGAGTAACCAAATATTGTCTTTTACTGGCACAAAAACACACACACGAGTTGAATTAATTGCATCATCACGAACCGAAAGGCTTTCTAATTCGTACTAATGGATGCATGGGCAGTATCCCATCTCCCAGCATAAATATTGTCTGCCCCGTATGGGTGAAATGTCAAGTGAAAATCTAAAGCTTAAACACCTATATCTGTGAGCAGAGAGCATTCCTGCTTCACCACCATGCACCAACACAAATCCCAGCCTTCTGCTCACTCCCAAAATGTTCGGGCAATGCATGGCATTTTTACATTCTACCCAAACAGGCTTGTTTTCTGCGATTATAAAAGATGAGCGTGAATTAGATGATCTGTCCTGGAATATTCAAAGCATTTGTATGTAACTATACACTATAAAATTAGAATATGTATGTCCCAGGTATTTAAAAATGAAAGCTTCTGCCATTACACTAGACGTTTAAAGGAACAAAGCAAGTGCATATTGAAATTATTTTACTGGTACATTTTCCTTCTCATTCATGTGCACAAGCATGCATACATTTGAATTGAAATGTTCGCATACATTTAATTGCTAAGTTTACTGGAACTCAGTATGCTCCCTTACATAAATTTGTGTCATTACATGACATCAACAGGCACTGCCAACACCACCTACAAAACAATACAATGCTCACCCGCTTGTAAAGTAGCAAGCATTGCCAAATATTGATTTACATAGCCATTTTCCTAACATATTCATTAGCTAAAGTGCACGTAACAATGTGTACAATTGCAACTCCACGTGCATCATCTCACTTAATAGACAGTTGAGCTCAACGATGAAATCTCAAGAAGACAGCCACAGACAGTAATAAAGACTGAGGGAAAACAGAGTGAATTCTCACGTCAAGTATCTACCCATTAAACATGCAACGTTAGGTCAACATTGGGTCAATGTTTGGCCAGCGTTGGTCAAGTGATTTGAACCACATGCCAACGCGGGCCCAACGTTGCATGTTTACTGGACACAAAGCACGTGTATATGTCAGCACCTGTAAAACTTCCACAACCAAGTCGGCACCGAATTATTCGTTTAACGTTTTGAACGCGATGCATTCACTGATTGCTAATTCCTGACAATAATCGTACAGATTGCAGAGCCTTGACTCATGACAACTGCACATGGCATGGGACAACATGGGTGGATAAAGAAGGTTCTGGACAGACGACAGAAAATCTTAACATTTGAGATGCTGAGGATCATGCAAAAATATATATTTTATTCTTAGGTAGGAGCTGCAATTTCAATGTGTATTTCAGCGTGTTGTAAATAAAGGCAAATTTAGCTTAGAAAATGGAATTAAATGTTTTTTTCGTTAAATTATGATGCAATGCGCTGCAGACCTCGTGACATTCTATATCAATTTTTTTAAAGCTTTCGTGACTGCAGTAATTCATATTCTTAGCTCTTTCGGTAAAGTCACGTTGAAGGGAAACAATAAAATAATAAAATATATTAAGGGGGGAAACAATAATAATAAAATATATTATTATTTTATTGCTTCCCTTCAACGTGACTTTACCGAAAGAGCTAAGAATATTCTATATCAAGTTAAACAATGGCACTAAAGAGGTATGCTTATAAACCAATTTTCATGGCTGAAAGAACACACACATATAAAACAACCTTCACCATTCGCAAAGCTCTTTAGCAAGGATTAGCTTTTTCTAAGCATGTATTAATGTACTTTTAGCATTAAATCCTCTCTAAAAAAATTAAAACTCTTCCAAAAAATCTTTAAAATATCGTAAACTTTTCCAGAAAAATCATGAATAATTTTAAAAGCTTCAAACACATGCGTTGATCATTCCCCCTTTAACGAGTCCTCTTTCAGCAAAAATGGGCCGAAACAAATTATTATTTGTCAGAGTTTTTTTTGCTATAGTAATTCGCTTGTGGAACATTGCTCTTGGAACCCATAGCAATATAACAACAACCGCCCTTCGCCACTAAGTGGCGGTGACATCACCACAACGCTTGTGCCAGGCTATGTGCACGTTGAGGCCACGTGAAGTGTCGAACGCCCACTGGCACGAGGTCACGGGACAGATCCAGATGCCACACGTCGACTGACTGAGATGAGTGGCTGATGCACCACCTGTGCCCCCTACTGTGCCAACTTTCTGTACTTCAGGTACCCGGCGCTCCACTCGTTGTTGTGAGCGTCACTCCCCCGCCCTCCATTGTTGTTGGAGGGCGACTGTCTCCAACTGCCCAGTAGCGTCCTTCACGAGCCTTCTTCACAGAAGCCGATCTTGACACCGCTGGTGCCAGTCAGCGGCAAGTCTACTCAGCTCCACATCCTCCTGTACCACGTAACTCCATCTCTTGTCTCGCCCGTGCCGTGCCCGTTTAGCCCCCTCGATCCGGCCAAACAAAAGCTGTTTAAGCATGCGGTGGCTGGGCATGTGGGCTACATGACCCAGCCAACGCAGCGTTGCCTGCCGGAGGAGCTCACCGATGGGACTTTGTCCAGATTTTTCAAGGATTTTTGAGCTACTCACACAATCCAGCCTGGTTAAACCGAGGATGGGTCGTAGGCAGGCCAGCCTATGGTTTCAACCGATGAAAAGATAATGCCGCTCGACTGATTCGGAGTGAGACCACTGCTGTCAAACCGGAGCCGGTCATGAGCACACTGCCCAAGTATGGGAAACTCTCCACTCTCTCCACAACTGCCCCATCACCAATTGGGTGGAGTGTCCGATGGAACAAAATACCCAGGCAGGTGCTTAGTTTTGGTGGGGCTGATGGTAAGGACCCACTTCTTAGTGCCAAGCTCCAGGTTCAACAGCAGCGCCTCCAATTTCTCCTCTGAATGAGCAGCAATTACCAGATCATCGGCATATGTATATAACATGGTTGAGCAATAGGGAGCTATCCCTTCACTGTACCCGGGCATCGATCAGCCTCCCATTGTATCTGTACCAGATGGAAATTCCTCCGGTACAGCTAATGAAGGCTTCACCAACTACGTGGTCGAAATAGATGTTAAATAATGTGGGAGCCAGAGGACATCCCTGTCGCACCCCTAGGTGTACAGGGAATGACTCCGACTCCTGGCCACGTAGTGTTACCCGGGCCCGCTCACCATTATGAAGGTCCTTAATGATCGTGAGCAGCGGGTCAGGGACTCCGAAAGCATGAAGAAAAACTTAGAGCCCAGGCCTACTGATGGTAGCATAGGCCTTGATCAGGTCAATAAAGCAGAGATGTAGGTCTTGTTGGAATTCCCTACAACTCTGCTGTAGCAGACAGACAGAAAAATATGGCATCTGTGCAGGACCGCCCTTTCCTGAAACCACATTGGGGCTCCGCAAGCCTCTCCTCAGCGTGCCTGGCAAGGCGATGTTGAATAATCCTTGCCAGGACCTTTCCCAGCACACTGAGGAGTGAGATGCCCCTGTAGTTGTTACAGTCTGTGCGGTCCCCTTTCTTAAAGACGGGGACAACCAGGACATTGTTCCAATCCTGCGGAACCCGTCCAGTGGTCCAGACTGTTGTTATGATGTCATGTAGGGCAGCCTGTGCACAAACGCCACCCTCCCTCCGCATTTCGCTTGGGAGATCATCTCTGCCCGGTGCCTTTCCTGGTCTCAAACTCCGGATTGCCTTCAGTACTTCCTCAACAGATGGCACCTCAGCCAGCCACTCAGAGGGGGTGACGTCTTCTTCCAATATTTGAGGCACCGCAGCCTCAGCAGGGTCAACCCCACTTTGTCCCACGTTTTTTTCCAGGCTGAGGGATTTCCCCTCCCCCAGGACCTCACATAAATTCTCAGCAAATCTGCAAACCTGTTCCTGGGGGTCGGAGATTGGATCACCATTCTTTCCCCTAATGATGGTAATAGGTATGGCACTGCAGGTTACTTTTTGATGGAGTTAAAGGGCGATTTGTGATCCCGGGCCATTGAGGCAGACACCATCTCCTCAGCAACCTGCGACCACCACCCATCCGAGCAAAGGCTGCGGTAAGCCTCCTCATTCTCCATCATGGGATGCTGTAGCCGATGAGAGTGGGCCGCTTTTTCTCAACCAGCCTGAACACCTCCTCTGTCAGTCAGGGTCTCTGGGGAGGTCTGGACCGTGTACCCAAAGCAGCCATTGCAGCTGCATGAGCCACAGTCCTAAATCTCGCCCATTTCCCCTTGACATCTGGAGGAGTGGGGGACGATGCCAACCCCAGTCGCAAGCATTGATGAAATTCTCGCTTGCAACTTTCATCAGTTAGCTAAGACCATGCCACTATGGTTTGAATGGGGTCCTGGGTATATACCCACCACCGGAGTGGAAGAATGGCAGGCGCATCTTACAGATGACAAGTCGATGGTCAGTGGGCAGATCAGCTCCACGGTAGGTCCTGGTGTCAGGGATATGGGCCCGCATCCGCTGTTCCGTCACTATGTAGTCCAGCAGATGTAATTGCTTAGACCCGACATGCATCCATGATGTTGTTTGGATGCACCGATGCCAGAACAGCGTGTTGGTAATTACACCCATGGGCTGCACAAAAATCTAGCAGCCTCCTGCCATTGTTATTGAGCTGATCTGGCCCATGCCTTCCAATCACTCCAGACCAGGTGCCAGTATCATGACCAACTCGGGCATTGAAGTCACCCAACATGATAACTCTATCCCAAGGGGCCACTTCAGCTAGCACCTGTGGCAGGAGGTCATATAAGGTATCTGACTCATTGGCCTTACCTGCATCCCTCCACGGATATTCGTCTTCAGTGGGGGTATAGTAACCACGACCACCACTCCTCACCTCTGGTTGATGGGAAGCCTGGGGCTTACAGCTTCCCACACCTCACCGCCACGCTCCCATGCCCCCCTCATTCTTTTGTTCAGAAGAAGAGCCACTGCCTGTTGTTTGGCAGTCTCCTGCCCCGAGTAGAGGACTGTCCACCCCTCATGGTGGCAGGAGCCAGAGCCAGTCGACCGGACCTCATGAATACCACAGAGATCCAGGCGGTACCGATCCAGCTCCCAACAGAGGAGTGGCAGCCTCTCCTCCATAGTGAGCATTCAAACATTCCATGTGTCCATCCGTAGTGGCTTTCTGTTGTTTCTGGAGGAGCCCCGAGGGTAAGGATTCAGTCTCCTGGCTCCGTCAAATGGGGTTTGGCCAGGAGACGTCATAGACGCTTGTCCCCCTGGGTCCTCCGGTACAAGCTTTTTTTTCAGTCGTGGTTTGGTGGTAATTAATTGAAGGTGGACGGGTTACCAGCCCCTCGTACCCATCCAGAGCCCCCATTTGGCCGCTGTGGTGGTTACAAACACCATGAATGGCCAGCCTAAATAAGCCCTCCCCCCACGGTACTGCCCACCACAGCTGTCGGGCTGATGTGTTAGCTCCTCCACCACCCGCCACAGCTCACGGAGGCTGCCAGCTCTCCATCATCTCCATGCTAGGGGTAAACTCCTTCATCGATTATATATTTTTTATTGCCCTCTCTGGTGCAAAGATCGATCGTGACAAAAAAACATCTATGAGGATAGGTTTTAGAGGCATTGTTTGTGCTCTCAGCTTGCTTATCTTCGAATATGAAGGCTCACAGGACGTGTCATTGTTGCTCCTGTCTGTCGCCTTGCTATTTATAAAGCACCAGAGTTAAGTCCCCTACCAAAACATACATTTCTGCTCATGGAATTTGTAGGGAAAATGGTTAAGCGTAGTTCTCTTGGCTATATAACACCCATGTTTGTAAGTTGTCAAAGACTGCATCAAGTCACAAAGCATGAATTATTTCCCTCTGCCATCGCTTCTCTGTGGGAGCAACCATGCCATTTACGCACAGTATTTAATGTTCTCATCAGGGCAAAATACTTCAATGGGGACTATACGTTGTAAAGATGACACATTATGATAGGTTAGACCACGTGATAGTTTTATTGCCAAAATTATTGTCATTAACCCTCCACCACCTCGCATGATTGTCACATGAAGATATTATTTGTATGCCTCAATGTATTGATCACATTCTGATCAATAACGCTCATCACTGGTGGTTTGAGACTGTAGAATAAAAAAATAAATTGCCTCAAGTCATGTATTAACCTTAAGGCCACCTGATACAATTTAAGTTTATCACCAACTTATTTCATGCACAAGTCAAATCCAGGTCACCAAGAAAATGTGAACTCCGCTATGTTAATCCCACACTTGTGCCCACCACAACCACTCTTACACAACAGCACCAGGAGGGTGTCAGTCACTCACCTGACGGATGTCATAAGCAAGAAGAATGAAGCTGCGGTCTGGAGACATTGCGAACTTTGAGTTCAGCAGGTTCATCTACAAGCAAGGACACCTTTGGTTATTAGATTTACTTTGTACAACAATGGTGCACATAAACAGCATGGTGGGGTCAAAGGTCTGGATTGGAAGTATGAATTCATTGCACACAAAAATAATTGACAACACCAAGTGCTGAAATTAAGCACCTATTAAGAGCGGTACAGGCAGTAATAACTGCCTATTACAGATATTTACTAACAGCGCCAGCGACTGTACTCATTTTATTCTCAGTCAACCTAACGGAGACTTGAGCTAGGTTCTGATACCATTTGCCACGAGTGTTAAAGCCATACATTTACTCTGGCTCACTGGGATCATAGTACAATGTGGAAACCACAAGGCCACGGAACTATATTATTTTCTGTGACACAAAGACAAAGATCCCCCATATAGCCTTAACAGACTGTAGGGGCAAGTGTTGTTAGCGAGCACCTATAAAGGCCAGCACAGCACACGAGGGGGTGAGTGGCCAGCACCACGCGTGGCCGCCTTTGTCTCCCCAGTGGCGATGTTTACACATCGCACCAGGTATTCATTTGAGGCTGAGTCGATCTAGGGGAGGCCCAGGACCGGTTCAGATAATCGTCACTGGCGTTTGTTGTGAGCGGGAATCGAACCCGGGTGGCCAGGTTCGTAGCGCAGCGTAGCGCTAACCGCTACACTACCGCTCCCCACTGTGACACACACACACGGACACAAGCAACCCTATGGATTACCATTGCAGTATCTCATTACTGATACCAAATGCTGGGGGAACTGGCGCATGAATTGTCCAGTAACATCCAGACAAGGGGTGTCACATTTAGTCAATTAAGTCATTAATTAATATGGATTCTTGAGCTTATGATGGGCACATCAAACATCTTTTAAAGACTCAAAGTTTTTGATTTGTATATGTTGTGTAATGGATTCACGTTACCCCTGCAGGCACAAAGAGTGCTACTGAATTGTTAAGATTCGATTATTGAATGGAATTTAATTGTGACCCCATCCCAACAACAATTGATCCAACTACAAGTACATAATCATTAACATCTAACCACCCATTACCTATACCACACTCACCTGCCATTCTTCACACTCTTCCTAGAAACCTATTTCTGAATAATTAAACATAACAAGGATTCATTACTGTCACTAAGAGGAATATAATATGTTGTTGGTTTGCACAACGGAATTTCTTCAGGAAATATTGAGGTTTACAGAGAGGGAGCTGAATATAATTTCGGTGCCTGATGTTGGGAAAGAGTTGTTGTAGGCGAATGGAATTACTGGAGTACACCGTGTTATTAATTTTATAATTGGGAGTCATTTTGAAAGAATTCCAGGAGTTAATATAGGAGTCTGACTGAAGTTTATTGAGTTCTCATTGATCATTTGATTAAAGCTGTTCCAATGAATAGGACTGTGAATGTAAATAAGACTTTGGAAGAGCAATAGGCCTGCATAGTGTGTCGTAAATTCCTTATGTGTGAATGTAGGCTATGTTGAATGGTGACTGAAATTTTTAATAAAATATGTTATTCCGACAATTTCACTCACTAAGACTCTCTGTGTTAACCTCATTATTTCTCAAAGACGGATAGTTTGCCAAAATGTTAATAAATTATTTCTCATCTGTGACAGCATTAAAAAGTATTATTTCATTTATAATGTCACTGAAGCAGCAACTTTATAACGTGTTTCTTCATTATTTTCTACTTAACACTTGCCGAAGATCACAGTGAAATCAAAGCTGTTTTAAAGCTTTAGAATAAACTGTGTGGCGGTAACACCCTGTCCTCGGTGCCAGTTTTTATCAAATGTTAAGTAATTTAATCACAGGCACGTATGAGTGGGCATAGACACATATGCGCACACATAGTATACATTTAATAAAGCAAATTATGTTCACAGAAAAAAATACCTTAAGGAAATTGTTCTCCAAAAGTGTCACGCTTTCATTTTCCTTCACATCCATTTTAACCAAGTGACCTTCCATCGTGCGGTAAATTACTTCGCTGGCTGTGGGTTATAAAAGAAGAGAAAACAGTGACATTTGATACTTAGCAGAAACGTCCATTTCTATATTACATTGCGGTTGAATTCCTGTCATTAAAATGCAACATTACTGATTTGTGTGAAGGGGGTTTACATGTCTTGAGAGCATGAAGGCCATAATAACAATGATTACATTTCTAAAAGAAGCCGAATATTCATCACTAAATAGCTATTATTAGAAGCCCTCCAGTGACGAGTTCATGATATATACCCAAAACACGCCTGCTTGCATTGAGGACGTCACACGCGAGGGAAGCCAACAACGCAAATGTAACATCGCAAAATCCACGATCATTGTATGACCAGGAAAATGTAACGGCAGAATCAGCTGCCCTCCAAATTCCTCCATGGCGTATTAATCCAAGAAACCCCCACAGTATAATCCCCGTAGGAAGCTCTAAACATGAAACAGGCCGTGTCACATAATCGTCACATACATTCAGACCCAGGCGAGACAGGCAGCAGACGTCACTCTTTATATGTCCGGAATTCACCGTTCCGTCAAGCAGCACTGGAAGCTATTTATTCTCATTAATGCGTTGGCCAAAAGCTATTTGTAAACCTTATATTAAACAAAGATAATTTGATTTCCATAACTTTACTTATTTTTTCCAAAAACCCAACCTCTCAATACAGATTATACAAGTCATCCAACATGGTTGCAATTAAAGTTTAGATGTATGTGTGTTAATTTTAAATAAACTGGATTCTTAAAAATACAAATGTTTTACAAATGTATGTGTTTTGTTACACGTATTAAGTTTACGTTTAAATATAAGGTGATTTTCTGGCTAAACGAATTTTGCTGGAATATGAGAGCTAATCCCATCAATGAAAATTTCTGAAAATGGTTTTGCAGAAACAATAGGCTAACTTATTGCCATGCAGGACTCACGTTGCCTTCAATGACTTGTAAATACAGAGCTTAAGGTACAGAAGGGATCAATGGAACACTGATCAACTTCATAAAATTGTGCTCATATATTTATTTTCATTTTGTAAGTTCAGCATAAACCATGAAATAATAATTAATTAAAGGGTGAGTCACGGGATGCGCGTAGCAAAGAGGGCACAGTTAAACCTTGTTGCGAAGTGCCACACATCCTTCGTGCAGTCTTTTCTATGGCAATGAAAAGCAACTGTACGTCGAGTTTAATGCACTCGATGGTATCAGCGTTGCTTCATGTACAGTGTTCGTGCCTCCCGCGTAAGCGGATAACGCGCAGAGGTCGGTTATGTGATGAACAAAACGCATTTCACCACGTTCACAAAAGGGCAACCCTTTCATTTTCTATTTGTGTGAGCGAGATAGCCGCACGTGCCGTGCATTTGCTCGATCATTATTAGGCGTAGGCCATTGCCTTCTACGCAGGTCGAATTCCAGGTCACTCATGCGTCGGGGCTTCGACGAGTTCGACTTTGTCCAGTCAGGTTAAACCAGTGGTTCTTAACATTTACTGCAGTCTTGTACCCCTTTGGTTCTCAATCGTAAAAAAAAAAGTACAATGTTAATGAATACAGAGGTTTGATGAAACAAAGTAGTTAGTTGTACTCACGTGCCCGTGCGTAATTTGTTTCGATGATTTACCTGCCATATCTCACACCCCCAGAAAGGGCATCTCGCACCCCCACGGTGTGCGTGGGTTAAACCAACACGAGTATTCGATGGATTTTTTTTCCAGCACGCTCTTAATTGTTCTCCATGTGCAAGCCGCCGTAAAACCCTGTCTGTATGCCAGTGCTTGTTCTCCCCCCCCCCCACACCGTGAACAACTTATCTTACATACGGTGCCCTGCGTCCACAAATCTTGGTTTTAGACATTGTTGGCATTATGGGGGGTTTTTTCTCCACACACCTGCTGGAGAGAGGTGATGGATTTTTTGGCATTTAAGGCTTGCAGCGTACTCTGCTCCCTGATGTATTCAGATTGCCACTGCTGCTATACCCATTGAAGACATTCAAACCATTGGCGACGTTAAGTCACGTCACACATTTTCATTTTTAGCAGGGTATATTTTTAAATTCTGGCGGTGACAGTCTAGACGAGCTCCCTTAGAAGGCTGCCGTAGTATCACGGTCCCGATACATTTGAAGCTTACCATAAAAAAGGATTGTCATGATCATCGATCCCATCCATCCCTACGTTCCATGCTGAGCTGCTTAATCGGAAATCTAAGAGGTGCGTTTGATCCCTACAAATGTTGGATGAATTCTGAACTCAGTGCAGACTGCAAATGTACTGTACATGTGCAGAGTATATTCTCGTAAGTTTTTAACTGCTAAAACCTTGGGACAAATGAACGTAAAAAAAAACTTTAATTTAAGTTGATTTCAAAACCCATCTAATATCCTAATCATGATGTCCAATGATTTAATTGTGTACAATAATGTATTTAATTCATGTTATGTTCAATAAGTATTTTATAAAATTAGGTGTGACTTCATTATGTTAATGTTTAATTGGGAAAGTGTTTTGATTAAAGCACACATTCACAAACATGTACACATATTCATATTAATGAGAATGTTATTTCTTCAAATATCAATTCATATTTTATCTGCAATCTTCCTGCCAGGCGGTGGGTAAATAAAGCAACAACGCGTTTTTTCTTTGAAATGCTTGCACGCACGCAAATGAAATAAGTGGAACCCGTGTCTGGGCTAATAACACGGGAGAGGACAGCGCAGAAGTGCAGAGACAAAAAAGGATAAATGGAAGATTAAAAGGTAATTTTATTGAGCCGAGAAGTCACCTTCTCGGCTCAATTAACTCTCAATGATGAGATCGCGCCGTCGGTGGCTGCTGGGTCACGTCGCCTGCGGAGCACGCGCGGCTCATTCGCAGGCGGCGCGCGTCGCTCGACAAGCCCAGCGCCAGTGGTCGTGTCGCTGCGACACCCACCACCCCCTGCTCACCACGCTCAAACCATACCGCGGGCGCTATTGTGAGCGACATTTTCAGTCAACAATATCAGAATGCGAGACATTCCCCCCCCACCCCCCCCCCCCCCCAAAACTAAAAAAATGGCTCTATCAAACATCTAATTGCTACATGAAAGGTAGATGTAATTGGAATTTAAGAAGAGGATGACAATGTTTATGGTTAACAGACGCACCCCCCACCCGCCCAATTTTTTCTTCTATAATTTATGCAGCACCTTCAACGTGTTTTAAGGTAGACACTTTTATGCGTACACATTCGCTACCTATGCTCACAGGCTCATTGAGTATTTACATCTTGCGGAAATGTCAATGCAATGGACCAAACTCAACATTGGTACAGTCAAGACTCATTTAGGGATTAATTACAAGACTTGAAAAGAAAAGGATCAATAAACTTATACGACAATTAATATCCAATATTTTTTTATGACCATTAACAAACCGGCAATTTGCGGCAAATTTAAAGACATAATTGACATTTTTTTTGCTCCTTGACTGTGTGAATGAAAACCTGTGAAAAATTCTATGAGCGGGTTAAATGTGAACATTATTTGGATAGTCTAATTCAGAAGCCTAATTTATGCACTAAAACGCTGCTCTGCATAACAATTCCAGAATGCAAGTCAAATCTCTTCTGAAAGGAATTACATAGCATAAGCAGCAGCTGTGCACAATACTAGGGTTTGTTATCAGTTGATGAAAGTTGAATGTCAGCTGTCTATTTACGTGAAATGTGGTGTCCAACACGAACACACGTAGGCACACCATGTGCACGCACACACGAGTATTCAATCAGGGTATGCAAGCGTATCCGTGCATTTTTATTCGTATGTATACGCAGATGATGCAGTCGACCAGAGTTCAGAAACACATGACTGCCAACAAAAAAACAGGTGCACAGAAAGTGTGGTATTTTCCACGCATATTGTACAGTCAACCACTGTAAGCAAGTAATAGGCATTTTACAGACATTCTTAGGAAACATTAAATACTGATATAGAGTACGTTACTTTGTACTAAATGCACGTAAAACGTTATAATGGGCAAATATATAATAATACTCACAGTAAACTAAGTTTGACAATAACATGGAATGTTTGTATACAATTTTTAAATAATCCCAAATATGTTTGCGGTACTAGAAATCATCGATTAAAGTGTTTTTGCCAGGCAGATATAGACTGTAAATGATCTGCAAACCAACTGAATCTAATCCAATATTTTGTATTCTATCATTTATTGCTATTTTATTTTACCTCTTACAGTACAAATAAATGCCATACATCAGCATGTAGCCAATGCTGAGCACTACCAAACGTTGAATCTGTTTGGTAGACAGAAAGTGAAAGTGTAGATATGCTTTGATGTTTACTGTAGTTGACAGGAAATTAAAAAGTGAGATATGTCATTACAATTCCTAAATGTCCTCATTATCTAGTAATAGGTTTTACCCTTTTAACTGGCACAAAAAAAACTGACACCTTTATTCAAGGCATCATGTCTGCAATAACCACAACACAAGCAGTCTAATACAATATTTGCTTGTGTTGTGGTTATTGCAGACACGATGCCTTGAATAAAGGTGTCAGTTTTTGTGCCAGTTAAAAGGGTAAAACCTATTACTATATCTTGTTACTGGCAAAGGAGGTCTCATAATGTCCTCGTTATCGTTTAAGTTTATATAACTAGCGATAAATGGCATGGATAAGCAACCAAACGCAATTAATACGTTGTGCATGCCAAACACCTCTAAAGTAATTTTGAAAGGCCTCAAGTGAATTGCTGTGTTAATATTCGTTCTCACCATTGAACTGTTTGTACCTTTAGATTTTTTAAACTGTAATCTGGATATCCATTTTGGCAAGTTGTCAGATAAAAAGCTGGTTGATTGCTTCAAACGGAGCAAACAACTTGTCAACTGAGAACGTATGCCTACATATTAAATTATTATATCATGAAACGTTTCAGAGTCAATCCTGCCATGGAAAACATATAGTGCATCTCAAAGGGTTCTCACCTGGTTGTAAATTAAGCAACTCATGTAAGCTAATGCATGAATGATAGAGTCACCGTTTGCAGTCTAATCCGAATACTGTACACATCAGAAAAAGTACACATTGAACACAGAATGGATGGAACTTCAGCACAGAGGCAATACCCTCATTACCCCTTAATCCTACAATTAGCCTCTCCTATGATACGATACAATGGAACGTCAGCCGCACGTATTTGCGCTCAGTTAGCAGTGTGCATAAGAAAACGTACATTAATAATCAATGTATATGATATAAATATTAAATCACGGCTGTCTGAGCACAGGGCCAAAGGCCTAAAATGTCAAGCAGCCAGCAACAAACAGCACTGTAATGTTGAATGTGGAATGTACACGATTTTTTTAATTGACCAAGATGAAAAGAACTTGGGGAAAGAGATGATAGAAGAGAATGCCAAGTAACACAATAGATAAGTGACAATTTCTCCTTCGCATATCTGTCCACAAAAATATATTTGTATATTTTTTTACACAACCCATCATTCCAATGGTCTTCTGGGAGTGCACCCTTTCAGCATCATTTATGCTATAGAATGAAACTCTGAACCAGTTTCAAGATACAGTGTCTGGTCAACAGTCAGACTTTCTTGCATCAATACTCGTGATTTCCAAGATGTTACAGATGTATTGTCTGCTAATCGATTGTAAACACATGAATGGAGTGATTTTAGGTACGAATCATAAAGGTGCATTTACGAGTGTGCTATGTTTTGTAGGCTTAGTACAGTATAACCAGGCATTTAATAAAAGTGAAAGAGTTTAGTGTATTGGAAATGTTGAAAGTACGTACATTACAGTATTTCATACATGTAAATTTTCCCTAAATACTGTACTGAATCCAACTTCAACGAAAATAGTAATTATACCACAGACACCACACAAACATTATTAATTTATGGACTCATTTGTTTATAAAACTCCAGGTAAAAATATTACACTCAAGGCACTTATGTAATTAATATGAAGTGGTGTGATACCTTCTCGTGTATGCAGAAGCGTTTCAGCAAAGACGGTCTATATCGCCACTGACCATTTTTGCCTGCTGTCAAGGTTTTGCATTTTAGTGCATAAAATAACCTGACCTTTTGGTGTGAAAATTCCCCAAATTTCCAACGTAATCGCCATTGGGTCAATGAAGTGCACCACACCAATGAAATCAGACGGCGGATGGCATTCCCTATTGGCCTAGGCTTGTGGGTGAGAATTCAATACGAAAATAGCATTATCGGCAGATGCTAATATGGCATTCGCTAAATAATGACAGAATAAACTGTAACTTTAGCAAAATGTCATTCAAGAAATAAGAGGGTAACGATGTGCTGAATTTCACCGCAATTTGAGAACACCTTCTGTATTTTGTGCTGTTTGCTCAGCAGCGACATCGAGGCTGAAGAAAAATAGCCATAAACATTGCCCAATGTTGGTCTCATTTGAGAAATACTGCAATTTGAATACAGATTTTGAATTGCATACACACGTTTACTGCAACTGCACGGATGAATATAACACGTGAGTAGAAGATCGTCATACATGGTGGCAAGTGCTTGGTTACATTTAAGAATGACAGAATCACATCCATATGTCAAAACCTTGAACTAGAGCACAGATTTGTTTTGTATAACAACTAATATTTGTGAGCTACATGACTCAGTGCCAAATATGTCACTTACAGAGAGCTGTTGCCAAGTCTCCTTTACCACTTAAATATTGGGATGACACTGTTAAAACACGAGGCTGGAGGCTCATTACTTCACCGATTTGGTGTTAAGTATATTTTTAGATCAAAGAATGGGTTTTTGAAAGGATAAAAGACAGTTAAAAAATATAAGCTGCCTGCACGAGAAGGCACATTTCCAGATGACTAATTTTAAAACACGGATTTATCATCAAACACTCGCTGAGCTGTGACTGTCGTACAGTATTCACTAGAGCGTAATTATAAGGTTCATTCATCAACTCCGCGGTTAATAAGCCTTCACTGTGAAACATGTCAGACATGTCCATGCTGCAGTGTATATTAGAAGGTCTGCTAATCATGGCAGAATTGTTTACGATCGTCGCTCTACATCCCGTTGTTTTTTTTCACCATTGCAGATGTACGTGAGCTTCGACTCCCTATGCTCAAGGAGAAGGACAGGCTTTCGCTTGTGTGCAACTAGTCTTCAGCGAGTGCTTCTTTTTCCTTTTCAGCCTTTGTGTCATCACTTGACTCTATTCCACAAAGGAATACGTGTCTGATTCATCTCGCTATTTTGGCCATCATTCCATCACTGTTCGGCACTACACTATGCACTTAGGTAACGCGAGGTCTATTTCCAGTCATGGATAATGTCAGTCTGTGGCGAGTGATTTCCGATCTGGTACTGGGTACCCACTTCACCGACCAGCACTAACCAGCGTAAAGTATGGTGAAACAGGCCCATGACTGACATGACCTGAGAAAACCTTCATCCAGCACTGCTTTGATGGAGGACTATTAATTATTCGGTAAAGTCACGTAGGTAAAAATAAAATAACAAAAATCACGACGTTTCGGCCACAACACAAGTGGCCTTCATCAGGTGAAGGGACCGGACTGTCCAGAGGACAGCATTAGAGTGAAGGCCACTTGTGTTGTGGCCGAAACGTCGTGATTTTTGTTATTTTATTTTTACCTACGTGACTTTACCGAATAGAACCAAAGAGTATGGATCCTTGCAGTCACGAAAGCTTCAAATCTAGAATTGACTATTAATTAATTATATACATTGTATTATTACAAAAAAGGCTCAGCAAACTTATGTCTTGGGTTTTGACTAGCAATCATTCCAGGAAAACAACAACAACAATGCAATGATATTTGCATTTCATCTTGTGCCATGTAAATAATTATTTACTGATATATATTTTCCCAGGCAGTGCATTTTACCTTTGTATTTATGTGTGGCGAGTAGTGGCACAGTGGTTTGTGCATCTTGCTATTAACCCACTAAGATTAGTTGAATTACTGGGAACATTACAAGTCAGTGGAATGTGCCATGAGCTCTTCCTTGGGCGATTCAGCCTTAAATAGGGGACCTGGTGTGGCGTGTGCTTTAGGGTTGACGACTGGTGGGTCACAAAGAGATGTTGGTTTGGCGTGGATAATTATATTGCAGATTATCAGAGCTCTTAGTGACTGTAATTTAACATGTAAAACATGTTTGAATTTTTTTTTTGCTTTGAACAAAAAAAAGATTCCTGAAGAGCTGATAAACATTTTAAAGATTACATTATTTGACTGCTCAAATCATGAAGTTACTCCCTGTCTCATGCTCATATGAATGTGAAAATAACCTCAATGTGTCGTTCACTGTAATAGACGACACAGTGTCCTTGCCACAGCTGGGCCAGGGCTTGGCAGTGTGGGGAAGAATTCACCGACCCCACGAGGATAAGACCTGACCTAACGTTTTGCATCTGGCGCTTTTCTCAGCCACCCGCTGCTAAAAATGGGCTCTGGTAACCCTGGCAACTGTTGGACCTCTCCTCATCCTCATCCGTGTGTCACACGGCACCCTGTTCAAGCATCAGCCCAGGTGACCCTCAGCCTAGAATTGCACTCGCTAAATGCTCAGCTTCAAAGACATGAGCACAAATCTGCCTATTTTTATCTGATACTTTTAAAATATATCAATCTTAATGAAAACCTATCAGATGTGAAATTGTACAAGATTAAGCGAAACTTGATCGCCTGCTTCAGCAGTTTTTTCCTTGCTGTGGTTGTCCCACCTGATGACGATTGCTTGTGTTGCGATCGAAACGTCGTGATTTGTTTTATTTTATTTTATTTTTCTACCTACGTGACTTTACTGAAAGAACCAAAGAGTATGGATTCCTGCAGTCACGAAAGCTTCAAATCAAGATTGATTACCTTGTTTGAAGCTTTAAAAAAGTACCATGTAAATTGTATTAATCTACTATTTAACTTAAATTTCGATTTAAAGCTTTCGCGACTGCAGGGATTCATCTTCTTGGTTCTTTCGGTAAAGTCACGTAGAAGGGAAATAATAACAGAATCAAAATAAAACATAAGTGAGAATTTTTTTTAATTACGTTTCATTTTTTTACATTTTATTATTTCCCTTCTACGTGACTTTACTATTTAACTTTTAAGATAATTTTCTTAGCATTACGTGCGAGTTTACAATACAGTGCATGCAATTGTCAACGGTTCTCACCACTTATCCACTTGACATCTGGCTCCTGAAGCTGGAAGTCGTCACTGAAAAGGTCCTCCAGGCTGATTTTAGCCTGGTTGAGGCTGGCATTTTCAGCTGCACAAAAAGATGAAACAAATTATTCAAACTGTTTTCATTACTCATTATAACAAAAAAATGTCGTGTTTTCATTACTCATTATAACAAAAAATATTGCATTTCATGGAACACAATGCTAGTAAAACCACTTTTGGTAACAAGCGATGCAGAATCTCAATCAAGACCATTTAAAAAAAAAACAATGTTTGGCCCTTTGTAAAACAACTGCTGGATGAAGGCCTCATCACACCATATCAGTCATGGGGGTTGTTTAACCATACTTCATCGCGGTGGTCAGTGCAGATTGATAAAGTTGTGGGATCCATGACTGGTTCAGATATCACCAACCGCTGATGTTACCCACGGCCAGAAATGTAAAATAAACTCGTGGGATTCACAGCGCAATGCCCTAATTACTCCACCACTGCTCTACGTTTCAAAAAAAGCACCAAAAATGTAGTTTAAAAAATGGGAGGTTTCAGCATTTTAGCCGAAGATGCATTTCATGGGATGCTTTGCCTTAGAATGCTAAATTAAGCAGGTCGTTACCTCAGGGTCCTTTCTGCTACCCTATCTTTATTATATAATTATTTTCCCAGACATAACCTTCAATGCTCTCGCTGTTAAAACGCGTGGTGATGGCTACTCAAGTTACAATGCTTAATCACTGTAGCATCCTTTCGAGAAGGAGATGTCACACTCATTCAAGGACCTGTCAAAATGATTGCATAAAAATCATCAAGATATTCATGAAGTAAATCAGATGCAGAATACACAAAGTACATTTTGACAGTTAAGGGTTGAAGGTCGGGTCTGATAGAAATGATATGCCTTCACTTCAAGGTCTGAATTCATTAGCTCTCTGTGACTATTTCAATTCTACTTATTAATTAATAAAATGTATATTGTTTTCATTATTGTTGAATGTACTCTTGTCCTGAAGGGTGTTTTTGTTTATTCACAGTGCTCTTTCCAGATATTTTATTTAAAAATGCTTTTTTTTAGTTTGTAAGGAATCGAGGTACCTGCCGACGACATTTTAAACGGGGGCATTGTTTCATGATAACTGATAGCCCAATATGACAGGGATAATATTGTTTGCCTGGACCCATGAGAGAACAGCACAGAAATGCATCGCCACATGTTTTTTTAATGCTCGTGGCCGAGATTTGCTATTTTGTACATCATGAAGCGGGGATTACTGCATGCGTGCTAAACCTGCACACTGGCCTACAATGAGGGAAAACAATATTTTATATCCTGCTGATTTTGTACGTTTGCCCACTGACAAAGAAATGATCAGTCTATAATTTTAATGGTAGGTTTATTTGAACAGTGAGAGACAGAAAAACAACAAAAAAATCCAGAAAAACGCATGTCAAAAATGTTATGATTTGATTGGCATTTTAATGAGGGAAATAACTATTTGACCCCCTCTCAATCAGAAAGATTTCTGGCGCCCAGGTGTCTTTTATACAGGTAACGAGCTGAGATTAGGAGCACACTCTTAAAGGGAGTGCTCCTAATCTCAGCTTGTTACCTGTATATAAGACACCTGTCCACAGAAGCAATCAATCAATCAGCTTCCAAACTCTCCACCATGGCCAAGATCAAAGAGCTTTCCAAGGGTGTCAGAGACAAGATTGTAGACCTACACAAGTCTGGAATGGGCTACAAGACAATTGCCAAGCAGCTTGGTGAGAAGGTGACAACAGTTGGTGTGATTATCGCAAATGCAAGAAACACAAAAGAACTGTCAATCTCCCTCGGCCTGGGGCTCCATGCAAGATCTCACCCAGAACTACACGGGAGGATCTTGTCACTGATCTCAAGGCAGCTGGGACCATAGTCACCAAGAAAGCAATTGGTAACACACTACGCCGTGAAGGACTGAAATCCTGCAGCACCCGCAAGGTCCCCCTGCTCAAGAAAGCACATATACATGCCCGTCTGAAGTTTGCCAATGAACATCTGAATGATTCAGAGGACAACTGGGTGAAAGTGTTGTGGTCAGATGAGACCAAAATGGAGCTCGTTGGCATCAACTCAACTCGCCGTGTTTGGAGGAGGAGGAATGCTGCCTATGACCCCAAGAACACCATCCCCACCGTGAAACATGGAAGTGGAAATATTATGCTTTGGGGGTGTTTTTCTGCTAAGGGGACAGGACAAATTCACTGCATCAAAGGGACGATGGACGGGGCCATGTACCGTCAAATCTTGGGTGAGAACCTCCTTCCCTCAACCAGGGCATTGAAAATGGGTCGTGGATGGGTATTCCAGCATGACAATGACCCAAAACACACGGCCAAGGCAATAAACGAGTGGCTCAAGAAGAAGCACATTAAGGTCCTGGAGTGGCCTAGTCAGTATCCAGACCTTAATCCCATAGAAAATCTGTGGAGGGAGCTGAAGGTTCGAGTTGCCAATCGTCAGCCTCGAAACCTTAATGACTTGGAGAAGATCTGCACAGAGGAGTGGGACAAAATCCCTCCTGAGATGTCTGCAAACCTGGTGGCCAACTACAAGAAACGTCTAACCTCTGTGATTGCCAACAAGGGTTTTACCACCAAGTACTAAGTCATGTTTTGCAGAGGGGTCAAATACCTATTTCTCTCATTAAAATGCAAATCAATTTATAACATTTTTGACATGCGTTTTTCTGGATTTTTTGTTGTTATTCTGTCTCTCACTGTTCAAATAAACCTATCATTAAAATTATAGACTGATCATTTATTTGTCAGTGGGCAAACGTACAAAATCAGCAGGGGATCAAATACTTTTTTTTCCTCACTGTATGTGATTGACTCACGTGGTTAAATAAAGCATTCCTCTTTTGTAATCACTTTCAGCCATGTATGCCATGAACAATCTGGTATGAAACATCTACCAGAGAGAACATTTTATTTAATTAATTTCAGAAAATCGCCCAGTAAGTAAACTCAAAGCCAAAAGGAGAAGCACTTCACTGCTCAAGAGAGCTGAGGGCAGTAGTCTTGAAAAACTGGTATCCCTGAGCCACAGCTGAGAATCACATTCATGTGGGATAATTGCAGTCTCCCCAAGAAACAAAACAACAAAGCAACCCCGAAATTATTATTCTCATTGACCCCAGAGGGTTGGTCAATTCTGACTTAGATTTGAACTCATGACTAGATTGCCAATCAATCAGGCTTTGCTTATATAGCACACTTCACATAATTTAAGGTGTCTCAAATTATCTTTACATACTATAATATTTACATAATTGCCTGATAATTAGAATACTTAAAATACAAAGCATTTAGCTTAAAAATCTAAGCAATGTACCCTCAGAAATATCACGTGAAACTAATAAATGACAACGTTATGATTAAAGGGATTGTGAGTTGAATGTTCCAACTAGTGCCACAAATCCAGATGAAACTCCCCCCAGGCCATGGCCCACATATGCGCTCACTTTTGCTTGTACCCTTGCGTTTTCAAAAATAAGTACATGCACCTATGTGTGGATTTAGTTATGCTATTGCAAAGCTATGGCATGTGTTGAAAGCCATCACTGCATCATTTATTAATTCACCTGAAATATACTGATTCTGCATCAAGTCCCAGGAGAGAGTATAATTCACAGAGACGTCTAATCCACACACGGGCTCTATTTGTTTTTCACATTAAAGTTGTATGGGGACTTTGGACAGGCCAGGTCATTTATTGACCGACAGCAGCAGGATTTGTGGGTGCAACATTGTAGTTAATGTTCCCTTTTAATTGTAATGTGCAATTAAATATTTCGTGTTCTCTGTTTATATGGCGAGCACAGTTTAATGCGTTATACAAGTCATGTTATTTCTTAGTTCCCACTAAGCTTTGATATCAGATGAAACTCCATTCCAAAGGGAAGAAAATTCCCAACAAAATATTAAACGCCACTGATCCATATCAATCTGATACATCCCACGTGCCACCCTTCCAGGTGCTATCCATACCCATCCCTGCTTAACTGCTGACATCCTAAACAAAAAACTAACCTGCTTATGTTGTTTGGAGAATGGCTAAAGTTATGGTAACATGTACAGTATGCGTTGCAGGCACAGGACTGCACTCTTGACAAAGAATATTAATGTAATTATTTTCATCCAGGAAATCCTGAGTCTCAATACTCATTTTTCAGGAGGTCCCTACATTGGAATGTTTGGACAAATTAGTGTTTGGTTGCATTTGGGAGGAACGATAATACCCAACAAAAGAGGAGGTGACACTCAGTACTTATCCTGGCCACCTCACATCCCCACGTCTACAATGACCTCACGGTCTGGTGGTCACCAGTCCAAGCACGAACCAGACTCGACCCCGTTTTAGATCTCACATGATTGGGCACATTTATAATGATTTAGTGGTGGGTATGAGGGTGCTCAGAAAACACTCACCAGGAGTGAGCAGGACGATGGAGGCAACGATAAGTGAGCAGACGAAGACGATGACCAGCAGGGCAATGGCCATGCCCTTCCAATTGCGATTGTTGCTCTCATTGCTGGACAGCTCCTGCATGCATGCACACAGGTCACACACACGCAAGCATGCACATCATGCTGTGTGATACAGCCTGGTCAATCACGGAGGCTAATATCATGACAGAACACTGAGCTTGCTATGCAGAGATCCAAATCGAGGCAGCCCCAAGTGCTCAAAACTGGGTTTTCAAGCGTAATGCGTTCATGGTCTAAACCTGATCACCAATGACTGTACAAAATATATCGCGTTAAAATTGTTGTTTTTCTATTGCTTATTTGACTTATTTCAGGTCTGAGAATTCAAACAAAATACGCTTCATTGACATTCTTTCAATATTCTTTAAAGGACATATAAACTGTTCCCCCAGCATGCATAAAGAGGTCCACTTAAGTAACTCCTGAGGGTGCTGTGATATCGTGTGGGGGCTGTTGATCAAGCAGGAGATGTTACTGTTCGCTGCAAGGGTTTTGAATATACATTTTATTTCATGATTTGATGGCAATAACAGAATCTGAATATACGCTGGGAGAAAAAAACTAAATCAGGCCTGAGTTTTCCATTATTCCAAGTATGTTAGTGTGCTGCCCAGCTCTCGAGGGGGTGGAGGGGGGCAAAGGAGCACAGCCTCATTACTCTGAATGATGATGAATGATGATAAATGATGATGCTGAGATCAAGTTTCGAATGAAATCATAATGAGCCCAGCCAGGAAAGTCTGATTACCCAGTAGCCAAAGCAGACTGCTGCCTGTGGGCTTACGTGGTTCACAATTTGGTGAGTGATGACAGAAACAAAGGTTAAGAAGAAAGGGCGCAGGTATAGGTCTGGTTTAGCGCCCAAAATAAACTTTCATATAACCTTGGTTAATGTCTAATTCATACCGAAAGACCCAAAGTATACCATTAAATACAGCAGTCATGTCTCCTGTTGATCAATGCTGGAATTTAAAATAATAATAAAGTTCCACGTTGAAAAATTTCAAGACCTTATCGTTAACTTTAAAATGTAATGAACTCTGACTGATCAGGTCATTTCTTATAAGACTATTGCTTATCAATTCCAAGACCTGATTTGTAAGTTAACTGATATCATGAACTTTCACCGACCAAGAAATAGCTTATCAGAACTCAGCTTAAGCTGAATGGGATCCAAACAGTAATTAGCACAGCAGAAAGAGGCTCTTGTACAGCTGGATGCACTCGCACACAGTAAGACTACTTCAATTCGTAGGGATTGAGCGGTGCACTGCTGTAAGTGGAGTTACGAGAACACGTATATTGCCTCGGCAAGTGGAGAAATTCCAGCTGGTGTTGTGATATTACTTATCAATCATGGAGAAAAGTGCAAATGAATGAGTGACTGATGTAAATTGTGACATTATATCTAGAACGGTTTGACAAATGTGAGCACAAATATAGTTGAACTAGCTTTTTGCCCGTCCAAGGATGGGTGTATTGTAGTAAATTTGAAACTTGCAAGTGAAAATCAGACCGCGACGTGATATCCATTGCATCCATTCGTGTGCAATTTGTAAGGGCGCAGTGACACAGACCTATTTCATTTTAAGGTTATAATACCTTTTTCATCATGACGTCCTTTTTACTTCGATGCCTCAATAACGTTACGGAGATCACGTGACGTGAGGGTTCTGCCTTTGTAGTGAGGGTTGTCAGTTGACGCCGAGGAGGGGGGAGGAGGCGCCTCGCCCCCCCATGTGGAGTGACGTCAGCCGCTAATTATTATTAATGGGGGGGGCTGTTCGATGTGGAGTTACGTCACCTGCTCATGATTATTAATGAGTGGGAAGGGTGCTCCATGTGGAGTGACGTCACATGCTCATGATTATTAATGAGGGGGGGGGGGGTTAATGTGGAGGACGTAACCTGTTCATGATTATTAATGAGGGGGGCTGGTCGACGTGGAGTGACGTCACGAGCGTTGCACACAGACATTATTGGCTCATTATAGAAGGTAATAATAATGGGGGGTGTCCATTTGGAGGATGTCACTTGCTCATGATTATTAGTGAGGGGGGGGGAGTACTCCATATTGAGTGACGTCACCCGCTCATGATTATTAATGAGGGGTGGGGGGGGGTGTCCATTTGGAGGACGTCACATGCTCATGAATATAACTGAGGGGGGCTGGTCGATGTGGAGTTACGTTACGAGCCTCAAGGACAGACATTCCTGGGTGATTATAGTAGGTATGTATGCTTATTTCTGCAAACATCCAAAAAACAACAAAATAATATGTGAGTTCACAAAAAATATGGCGCAGAGGTTTATTGGTATCACCCATAGGGCAGAGGTCCACCTACAATTCTAAATGGCTTTTTGTCCCATGTTAAATACCTACAAATATACATCCCGATCCTCAGTGAACCATGTCAGTCACAAATCCCTATCCCCAATGTCACGATGCTACATCCAAAAAGTGTGGAAAACCTGCCACGCATTACTAGTATACAACAATCTGGAATTTCCAGTTCCAAAATGTAGATATAGACTTACATTTCTTACTGGTAGGAACCCCCTGGTTACACCAGCCCACAGGGGATTATTGTGTCCGTCCGTCCGTCGTGCATCCAAAAATGGGAGGGTGGGGAGGGTGGGGAGGGGCTGGGTGGGGAGGGTGGGGCTGCGTGGGGGGTGAAAGGGGTGGGGCTGGGTGGGGAGGGGCTGGGTGGGGAGGGTGGGGCTGGGTGGGGAGGGGCTGGGTGGGGAGGGGCTGGTCACCCCCGTGGTGCCCTTATAAAACTCAACGTTTAACCTACTCACACTGGCTTGTGCCCGCCCTCACAGTCGGGCATATTTGCGGAATACACCACGCCGCCGTTGACCCTGGCCATTGACCGAGCAACCCAACGTTCCTACCAGCTCCCTCCGCAGGAATGTGTTAAATGCATAGAAAACAGCTCAACAGAGAGTATATGGAGAAAAAAATATCTACCATGCACTTATTATGCACTTTCAGTTTCAACATCAATTTGGGCTATCCACTTCTGGAAGAAGGCCTCTCAAAGCCATCTCCGTCTTTCTTGGTCTCACAACGAAACAGTCTATCTCGCACGTGCACATGCGCTTATTCATCACTCCATATCTGGCTGCTATTATGTTGTTAGTCTCATTCAGTAATCATCATCCTTTCTAGTGATGTTTTCCTGCTCTAACCCACTTACTTATTTTGGTAGTCAAAATTACGTCCCTAATTTGCAATTGTTCTCAAATACACAATTTTATATTTATGTCTCGGTGCCATTTCAAGAATGCACCTCTGCATGATTCTTTATGCAATTTCCAGATATTGTTCTATTGTCTTTGTCAATGCCCATACATTTCATCCACATGTTATAGCAGTGAGAATGCACTGCATACAATTTTTCTTCTTATGGTATACTTGGTATGTGGCTTTAAATTTTTAAGTTGTTTTCCAAAGCACTCCGACTTGCTTTGTGCACCTCTTGATTTAATAATTTTGATCCTGGTCCAGCTTCAATAACTGCTATATTATACATATTGTGATGATTTCCCATCGTGTTCCTCTGATAAATGTCGTCAGTTGTTTAGCGAACGTGTTGTAAATTACATTATTCTTCTCATATTTAATTAGCTCCACTTTGTAGCTTTAATTTTACACGTAGGCTTTCACGATTAATATTAGGATTCATAATTGGTATCTTTTGGATTATATCATGTAGGCATATTGTAATTTTTTTGTAACCCGGTAGCCTACTGTAGGGTAATGGTGCATTCCTATACCCTGCACTCGTATATGGAAATTATTCGAGGGACATCCCTACACTCGTAGTTATATATTGTATGCAATACAATTTCTAGACGATAAAATAGTGCTTGCAGCAGCTCCCACCATTTTAAGTTTAAACCTAAGATGGTTGGATTTTGACGAAAATGGCCTCGAGGTGACAACTGGCACAGAGGTACCTCCTTGCTAAAGTTAACAGCTACTTTAGAAAAAATGTTTGGTATTTACTTTTTAAGCTAGGATCGTGGACGTTAAGGGATATTTAGGAAGGAACTGTCAGAAAAGTGAGGGGAATTGGGCAGGACACATTGTTAGACGGGTTAATGGCCGGTTATTCAGACTTATACAGGAATGGCAGCCAATGAAAACTACATTCAACTTATTATTTTACCAGGTGAGGCCCACTGAGCTATATAGCTCTTTTTCAGAAGCAACCTGGCCACAAATGATAGCTTAACGAATTGGCTTATCATGTGGAAATGTCTCGCAGCCAAATACTCTAAACTCATGTTTCTAAATCTGAATGGAAAAGCCTGATAACCCAGAGAAAAATCCACGCGACCACGGGGAGAACATGCAAACTCCAAATATACAAGCGTCAGGGTTGGGATCGAACCCACGATCTCCTGTATGCCAGGCGAGGTCGTTAACGTCTCACCACCGCAGCTACGGTGGGAACATGCCCAAGAGAATGTCCACCGCATTTTGATCAAAGTGTTCAAGCAACTCAGAGTAGCAAATGGAGATGTTTCAGTGCAATGAGTGGGGCTGAAGGACGGTGGGGAGAAACCAGTGGTCTTGATTGGGGGGCTGCCATTCTGAATAAAGTTTAGAACGACTATCCTAGGGAGAAAGATAGCACCATAATACAAGATATGACATCTTTGAATTCGTGGAGTAATTTTTGTTGCAGATCTCTTTAGCAAAAAAGTCACATCAGCAATCGCAGTGTGGTTTTCAGATGAAGTGGAGAACATTCCATATGTCACACTGAATAAGTAAACTCTACTTTTCAAGAGCATGACAAAAAAGCTCAGGGACATTTATGTAAAACTGTGGACATCATAAAACAAAGTGGGACCAGTTACTGAAACACAATTTGTGGACCTAGTTACTAAATATTGCGCAAAAATGGAATACCTAAGTCAAGGAATAATGCCTCAATAATGATTATTTTTTTTTATATAAAAGAGAGATACAACTGATTTAAAGAACTGTAGACCTATTTGGCTCATATCACATCTGAAACAATTGTTCACGAAGAT